ATTTTTAATTTTATTGAACTAGTAATTAAGAGTCGATATTTCAACTTGTTAGACTCAATTACCCATTCTATTATCAACATTTTTCTTCCACAAAGTGTTTTTACCTTTGTTTTATCGTAAAAAGTAAAATTTGCGTGTATCTTTTTCAAAAAATATGTAAGAGTGGGTCGACCCGCCCTGTCCCGTACCCGCGCGGGTTTTATCCGCCCCGACCAATAGTAGCATGGGGCGGGGCATGGGAATTGAAGTACCCGCCCCACCCCATTGACATCACTACGTCTGAAGTGAGAGTAACCCACCCTGGAGGCGGCGACTTCCACGAGATTTCGACCTTTGTTCTAGTGAGCAGATTAGGTGTATTGACGAGTCTGTCTTTGTCATGGCATTACTCACACAATTATCTTAAATAGTACGCGTTGTAGAGCGACTTCAATGGTGATGAATTTGACTACAAAGAGGTGGTCAATCATGGCTTCTTCGCAGCTCATCTGATTAGTCTCTCAATACTCTCAATTTGAAGAAAGCCCCCAAGATTACGAGTCAGAGTTGTATTGCAAGTGTCAAAGGAATCAACAGCAGCAATCATATTGCCTCCTCAAGGTTCTCATATGCTTTCATCATCACAAACCATGTTCAGTCGAAGGCAGCACCAGGGTCACCTTTATCGCCTCGAAATTCTTGTCATTCATGTCTTCGTTTGAGTGGGAGTGTTGTGGTTACTTTTGTTACTTGGTCAATAAGTAACAGAGTCCTTGTCTTACTTGTCTTTGGCCTTTCGTGTCTTGTCCTAGAAGGAGAAGGACATTAGGTCGTCCTTAGGATTTTTACCAAAGCCTTTGTCCATATATAGCTCAGCTACGGTTCTTGTCGTAAGCAAGCTGTCAAAATGTAGTCCTCAAATAATAAAACGCCAGCCGTGAGCTCCTCATCGTGGATTAGTCTCGTTCAATCAAGAACGAGGATACCACGTAAAATCCCTTGTCTAGTGTGTTCTTTCAATTCTGCATTATCAAACTCTTTCATTACAACTTCAAGGTGTCCTTTAAAACATCAATACTTTAAATCGTAATAAAAGTGCTTAATGAATGAAAGTAATATGATATGACCCGGACCAAACTACACCGTTTCCCAACCCTACTCTCTGTCTCCCCCCTCTTAGCAAACTAGAGTATATATATTGTCTTGGGCGCAACAGAAATATGATGAGATGGCATCGACAATAGAGGAAATTGTTTCACTCTAATATATTTATTTATATCACACACAAATAGGCAATTGTTGCCTTTACAAAGAGCTCTCAACATATGCTATTAGCTCTAGCTCTCTTATCTCTTACAATGCCTCCATTCGATACACTTTATACAACCATACCCACCATTACATAATTGTGAGTTTAGTTTGATATGTGGATGGATTTCTTCCAAGCTTACTAGCGGTAGTTGTAATATACTATTTGCTTAATAATAATTATGTGTAGGTTTAGCATGTGGCTAGCTTTATTTTCATTATTTTAGCGTACTCAGAGACTGGATAGAGATGAGGTAACTAAAATTAAAAAAAAGAAGTAAACATATATCAATCTAATGAATAAATCTTGATACAGCATTTGCATAGATAGTAACAGCACCAAACTGCTTCGCTGACAATGTTGATAACGGCGGCGGCAACCAAAAAGCGAATGGTCCTTCTGTCCAACGTCCCGCATTGCTGAGGAGGAGGAGGAGGAGTACTGCTACTGCATTCGTTGAAGCATCGGTTGATGCACTCGTCATAATAATCGTCGTCCGGCGGCGGCGGCTGCGACGGGAGGGAGTCGTTGCAGCGGTTGAGGCAATTCTTGAAGCATCTCGGCGCGGCGGCGGCGGCGGGAGATGATATTGGTGGCGGCGGCGGCGGTGATGCCGAATCGGCTGGTGGTCGAATTCCGGCCACCAGCAACGGCGACAGCAACGTGAGAAGGAGCAGCAGCACGAACCCACGGCTTTGTTTCTTCATTGTGTATGTACGTACGTATTTAGGGTTTGTAATTAGGTGATTTATATGGTAAAGGGAAGGATATTGGTAGAGCCGTTTTTTGGTAGAAGTAGGATTCCATTTCCGTAGAGTATTATATAATTTATAACTATGAGGCTTTAAGCTTGAAATTTATTTATAAAATATGGAAATAAACTAGTTTTACGTATTAATAATTGTAATTTTTTAAAAAAATATTCATCGAGGAAATTAAAAACTCGTATTGGACATTCACAATACTACTCCATGTTTCATAATAGCATGAAAGTTTTCGGTTGCACTAATTTTTATTCCGCTAGGCTTAACTTAAAAGGTAAAACTACAAGGATATATATCAACACCATTAAGATGTGTAACTATCATTCTGATAATTCTTTTTTTTAATATTATATACTATCATTCTTATAATTTTTTTTTAATCTGATCTAACTGTGAAAAAAAAAATTAAATTTCGACTTAAAACGAGTGAGAAATCGTCCGTCAAAGATTGAGTGAAAAAGTAAAAGTTTTCCAGGAGAGAGAGGGATGCTGATGTCATGCTGATGTGGGCTGGTTACTCATGGTTACTCACCATAAGGTTACTGGCCTGATCTGTTCCCGATACATATCTCATAATTGATTGGTAAGTTTTTTTAGTTTCTTGAAATTTCAAGGATTATATGTATAATATGCACCTCTACTATGACGTTTTATCAAACATGCCCCTCTATTATTTTTTACATCAAACATGCCCCTGTGCTTTGTAAAAATGATCAAACATGCCATTTTGTTAAAATTTTCATCTAAAAACCGTTAACCAAGGCCGAACTTTAGTTTGGGCGACACAAATGACTAAAATATCCCTAATAAATTCTCTTTAGAATTTTTTTGGTTCTTTTGTATAATCAAATCATTCAAATAATTTCACTTTGAAAATACTCAGGGAAATAAAATAGGGGACAAAACTGACATTTTCCCTCCCATTTGTCGATGTCGGGTCGTCTAAATCTCAATTCAACCATGATTGACGATTTTTTCAATCGAAATTTTAACAGAAGGGCATCTTTGATAATTTTTTCAAAGTACAGGGGCATATTTTATGTAAAAAATAGTAGAGGGACATGTTTGATAAAACGTCATAGTAGATGGACATATTATACCTATAACCTAAATTTTAAATGATTTCATGTTTAACAACGGCCAATTTCATTAATAAATCCTGCCACGTTAACCTATAGATCATAAACTTTCATCGGAAAGGAACTTATTTATTTATTTTCCTTTAGATACCTAAAATGTTCTAATCAATTAAAATGTTAAACATGAGAGGATAAACAACTCAATCAATACTCTTCGTATTGTACATATAAGATGAATTGTTCAGATCGACTATTATGTAGAAATATCATACTACACCAATACTTTCGGTCAAAATTGAGAACAAAACAGAAAAGAACCCAATACAAAAAAAAAATTAAGTGAATTCTTTTCTTTTGCCCTAGAATTTGACCTTCCATGGCATTGCATGCAAATTTTCATTTTCCCCATTGTTATTGAAAACATTTTTCAACCATTTTTAATCAATGTCTACATAATCAAAACTCAACAAATTTTTCCCCATACAAATTTCCGCGGGGAAAAATACATGACCAAAATATACCATATCACCCTCGTATATATTTTGTGATACACAATGTTGAAAGTTGTAAATAGAATTCTCAAACCACTCTACAGTCTGGTATATATAATGTATTCAACCATTCTACAGTCTGGTATGTTCATACCGCCGTGATACACTTCCATTCAGGGGCGGAGCTACTCATAGAGTAGGGCCCACCCGGGAATAGTCTCGGCCCCTAAGATCGTAAGAATATTTAGATAAAATTTGGATAAGTAGCGCTCGACCTATACATTGTATCATATAACAATTAGTAGTCTAATGGTAGTTAAGCTAAACTTTTAGCTTAAAGCAAACAAGTTCGATCCACAACAACCTCATTTTTGCTTTTAACTTCTTTTTGGACTTTATTATCTTAATTCAACCTCATTTTTGCTTTTAACTTCTTTTTGGACTTTATTATCTTAATTCACCTCCACAAGGTCCTGAACCAAAGCAAACGGATACCCACTCCTTTTCATTCTTTTTGTTACTTTAATCCAGCTACAAATGAAAAAATCAACCTCGATTTAGTGTGAAAGAAATTTTATTTTGTTGATAGGCTGATTTGTCTTCTTCTAAAGCTATATGTGGTCGTGCATGTTTTTAGGTATAAAGATAGTGAAGAATAGATTGCGAAACAAAATAAATTATGAGTTTCTTGTTAATGATTTAGCTATTTATATTGAAAGAAAGATAGCTAATTTTTTTAGTTCAGATGCTATTTTGAGAGATTTCAATGATCTCAAAGAACGTTGTAGACTTTAAAAATAATTATTTTATTTTTATTTACATTTATCTATTTTTCGGCCCACCATGTCTCGAAATCCTGGCTCCGCCCCTGCTTCCATTTCACGTAGTATGCTCTTATGTAATACCAAACAATCCCACCATGGTACAGACTAGAACTAAATGTCTAAAAAAAAATTTGTTCTAAAAGTATATCAAAGTGTGAGTTGTCTCATAAATAACCGTTGGTCGAAGTTTGCTTTTCAGGAGCACGATTTACTGAAGAAGTTGTGATTGATAGCAGATGAGATCGGTGATGATTATTGCTGGACTTGTACAACCAAGTAGTAGTTGTGCTCTCTTTTAGGATCTCTTTTTGTTTCCTGATTTGCCATTTCTCAGGGTGCTGCTTTCGCCCTCGCTTCTCTTCCTTTGTAATTGCTGTGGCCGTCCTTTTGTAATTTGACATTTTAATGAAACGCTATCTCATTTATTAAACAAAAAAAAAAACTCATCTGAAAAGAATTCATTTATTTATTTTCCTTTAAATAACTAAAAATTTCTAATCAATTAAAATGTTAAAAAGGAGAGGATAAACAACTCAATCAATAAATGCTCTTCGTGTTGTACATATAAGATGAATCATTCGAATTGACTAGTATGTAGAAATATCATACTATACCAAAACTTTGGGTCAACATTGTCAACAAAATAGGAAGAAAAAAACCCAATACAAAAAGAATTGAGCCAATTCTTTTCCTTTGTCCTAGAATTTGACCTTCCATGGCATTGCATGCAAATTTCCATTTTCCTCATTGTTATTGAAAACATTTTTCAACCATTTTTAATCAATGTCTACATAATCAAACTCAACAAAGAAACTCCCTTTCTCTTTTCCTACCTACAAGAACTTGACTTGGCACTTTTGAGAGGAAACAACGCCTCGAATCGCGCCCAACGAGCTCACCCTCAACATACAGTTGACGTCGATCTCTTTGCTTCGCGACTTCACCCCCGAAGCACTCATCACCACCGGAATCCTCATCATCAACGACAACGAAACCGGAGCTTTCCCCTTCTTGTCTGCCACACTTGCCTTCACCGCCGTGGGCATCTTCCCCTTCCCGACCCCCTTGAGTCGCAAGCCAACCGCCTTGGTCTGGCCCACCCCAACCCTCAGCCCGGGGAACCGACCGGATCCGATCTCGAAATTCCTGTACATCAAAGTGACGTCTCCATTTCCATCAGGCGAAATGCCCATCTTCCCGTCATCTTTAACGGTGACAGCCATGTTGAAGCTGGTTAAGTTCTTGGCGTTGAGGCGGTTGATGTGGATGATGGGGGGTTTCGGCTGGATGAGGGCGTGGGCGATGGCGAAGCTCACCCCGACGATGGCCGCGATTACGATGAAGGCAGCGATGGTCCAAGACACGCATCGGGATGAGCAGCACGTGGAGGTTTGGCTGGAGGACTTCTTCTCGTTGCGGTGGCGCTCGATGATCTTGGCATGCTCCGGTGGTGGGACGGCGAAGATTTGGTCCTTGGGGATCTGGATGACATAGGTGGTTTGGGGTTGGAGGGATAAGGAGAAGGAAGGAGCTTTGGAGATCTTGCGGGAATGGTAAGGCGGAGGAGGAGAGGGGAAGGAGGTGGGGTTGGCCGAAGATGAGTCTGGGGAAGGGTCGGAGCCAGCAGCGGTGGCTGAGACCCGATCCTCCATGTGGAGATGGGGAGGTGGTGACAGTGGGAGGGAGAGATGGAAGAGGTGTTACGGGGTGAGGAAGTTGGGAGGGTGAAAAGGGGAAAAGGAAGGAAATTAGGGTTTGCATGAGAATGTGTGGCTTGCATGAACGAGACAGAGAGAGGAAGAGGGAAAATTGCAGCCTTCCATGGGAGGTGGGTGTTTTTAGGGTTTTTTTATGTTCTCTTTCTTCTATTGATTTTGTGTTTTACTTTTGTTCTTGTTTATTCCTAATGATTTGTTTTTTTTTTGTTTGGTGGATATAATTCATTTTTTTTGTGGATTTTAGGATGACCATTTACTGAGTCAATTAGATATATATAGCTACTTAAAAGAGCATTTTGTGCTTACCTTTTGTATCCAATATTTGAGGTATTTGATTTCATACACAATTTGTATAACATAATAAATATTCAAGAGGTATGGAGCGAGAGCAGTAAAGCAGCGGTCGTGATGAGTGAGGTGAGACCAAGAGATGAGAATCGATAGATGGAGAAATTATGGTTTCTCATATTTTTTGGTGGATCGGGTTGTTCCTGGCTTCCTGCTGTCCCAGTGGCGGATCCAGGGGGCCCGCGGCCCAGCCCTCGTTCGGATCTCGAGCTAGTATAGCACTTGTAATTTCCGATTTTTGGTATTCGTTCTAGTGTTTTTCATGTTATGGCCCAGCCTTCTCCGTCTTTTTGCAAAGGTGGCCTAGTGCGATCTACCCTGTCTTGGATCCACCGATGTGCTGTCCGTGGGACTGAGAGGGTTGGACGTGTAGTTCGGGCACTTGGGCTGGGCTGAGTCTAGATGGAATATGGCTGGACTGGGGTCTAGGACATTATGGGTTGCCATTCAATTTATCCGGTTTAATATCGGACCATACCGGTTTTTCTCATGCCTTTATGACCAACAATTGAATTAGGGGTTGCAGGGAATCTGGTTTCCAGTTGCAACCCGACCGGGTTAAACGATCCATGTTTCCGATTTAACCAGAAAATCATTGATCGAATTCCCATCTTAACCCAACCCAAACACAAGGCTTCGGTTTTCAAAAAAAAAAACGAAACATGCACCCACCCATAAAATCATTTTTCTTGTATATTACTGGTGATCAGTTTGGATTCGATGATGTTGATTCGGTTTTCGGTTTGTTTTGTTCACCTTAGTATCAATCACCTTCCCATGAATCATGATACCATCTATGAATATGATCCCTACCAATCGAATATGCTTCCATATTCTCTCTCTCTCTCTCTCTCTCTCTAGTCGACATGTTTGATATTTACTCTTGAGAGGGCTTTTGCGGGTTTTCGCAACTCGATCCGATCGATCCATCAGCATCACCAGAGAACGAAAGGATGTAGTTAAAAGTTTGTCACCACCACCACCTAATCCCCATTTAAAAACATTTAAATTCAATCCTATTCGTTTGTCTCATACTCTCATTGTCGATAATCAAATATTAGATGAAAAAGACTACTAGCAACATGGCCACCTGGCCGACAGATTTAAATGTTTGTAATTTAGCAAGAATAGATCTAAAGTTTCACACTCTGATAGACAATCCTCTGCCACGGGATAATCCGCAATCTTGATCCCTATTAGTGACAGAGCCGGAAATTTTAATGGGAGATTAAAGAATATGTACTTGAGGAGTTTGAACTATAATTATTGGGGACGAAGGCTGAAAATCTGATTAATTATTATATGACTCAAATTTATTATGAATTTTACAAGTAATTCGATCATGTTTTTGAAAGTTGAGGGTTCGTAAAAGTGGTTATCGACTCATTCGATCTAGACCCATTGGAATTTAGATAATAATGAGCCAGAATTAAAGAACAAGAGATGATCAGAACCATATTAAAAGCATGCTTGGTCCATTTACAGTGATGTTTGAACCAGCTTGAATTGAGATATGTAATAAAGTAAATAATATGCGATTTACACAAATAAAATAGCAAATACGTTCAATTCTATAAAAAAGAATTGACATGAAAGAATTCACTTATTACTTATTAGTACTCATAAAAAAATCACTTTTTTAGGGATGTAACGTAAGACAAATCTCGTATCGACAAAGTGCTGGAGATATCTATGATTCACAAGTAACATCAAACATTTACTAACAAGATGCATTTTTTGGTGAACCGGAAGAATTCTTATTTGTAATAATTTTTGAAGTTAAATGTGCACAGTGTGAAGCAATGCAATGATAAGTGATCTCCTGAAAATTCGCCACATAAGTTCAATTTTTTTTTGTGGAAGCATTTAATAATTAATAGTGATCCATTTGCAAATTATCACTTTGAATTTGAATGAATATTATTATAATTATTTATATTTAAAAATTGATTAATTTCCCTCCAACTACCCTCCCCACTTCTTCTTCTTCCTTCTCCAAAGACCTCTCTGTATATTTAACTCCCCACCCAAAATCATCCAATCTCCACATCTCCCCAAAAAATGGCGTCCCGTCTTTTCCTCCTCCCCGCCGTCCTCCTCCTCCTCGCGATCTCCGCCGTCCCTTCCTCCGTCAGTCCCCCTCAAAATCAATCTAATTGAAATCTCGTAACCAGTAATTGCTCTCCCAATCAATCAATTTAACAAACCTTCTCTGTTTTTCTTCTTTTCCCCACAGGCCGACGACGACGACTGCGTCTACACGCTCTTCGTCCGCACCGGATCCATCTTCAAAGGCGGCACCGACTCCGCCATCGGCGCGTGGCTCTACGACACCAACGGATACTACCTCAAGATCTCAGATCTGCAGTCGTGGGCCGGGCTGATGGGCCCGGGTTACAACTACTACGAGAGGGGCAATCTCGACATTTTCAGCGGCCGGGCGCCCTGCCTCACCGCCCCGATCTGCGCCCTCAACCTCACCTCCGACGGCTCCGGCGACCACCACGGCTGGTACTGCAACTACGTCGAGACCGCCGTCACGGCCGTCCACGGCTCCTGCAGCCAGCAGACCTTCACCGTCGAGCAGTGGCTCGCCACCGACGTCTCGCCGTACGAGCTCTCCGCGGTCCGGAACTTCTGTCCGTACGATCTGGGCGCCGCCGGGGACAGGAAGGTCCGCGACGTGCGGCAGCGGAGCTCCTCCTCCCCCGCCGGCGGGAGGGCCGCCTCCGCCGTGTTGCGGCAGGTGGTCGCCGCCGCTTAGATTAGCTGTTAATCTAATCCCCCACGGTTTTATGTGTACTGAGGAAATTATCGTGTGTGGCCAGTAGTAGTGTCGACTCTATGTACTCTTAGTTCGATAATAAATGATTCCTTTTGTCTTTGCTTAAATCCAATTAGATTATCTAATCACTTAGTAACAATTGAATTTTAAAACCCACTAATTTTAAACAATTCATTCAATATTCCATTCATATTATGAGAAAACCACTAAATTGGGACTGATAATTTTCGTCCACAACCCCGATAGAAAACAAAAATAATCTCCAAATTCAAATATTAAGTTAGATCTGACTAACTTAGAGCCACCTATGTACTACATACTATGTAGTTTAGTGCCTAATGCATTCCATATAGGTGAGTATAGTGATCATATTGATCATTAATCCCGACAAACACATTGAGAGCACATAATCAAATTCTATACACAATTTTTATCATTGTACATGAAATTAATTCTATTGAACCAAGGAAATTTTAATTTACAGCAGCATCTTCATCCATCTCTTGTAAAAAAACACAGGTCTCCATCTAAAATATACAACAAATGTTTTCAATCCGAACATTTTTCTACTATTTATATCACATTTCTCCTCTTTGTTTCCTCAGTCTTGCCTTGACTTCCCTTAAGCCCCGCCTCACCTCTTCATCATCTGGCGATTCCTTTTGCAACATCTCGTAGTCTTCCATTGAAGCTTCCAATTTCTCCAACTGTTTTACCAAGCAACCAATAGTACAAACAAACCCCATTTCAGACAAGACAACATCATCTCCTATCGAAACATCGATCTCTAGAACGATCAGGGTTACGGTAAAAAAAACTCCAAAGCTATATAACACATGTCTTACCACCCTTGATATGAATCATATCACCCCTGTGATATATGATCATATCATGGTGGTATAATTTGTATCATGGGTGATAAAGACAAGATTTTGTAGGTTTTGAAGTTATAGATTTTGTGCTTTACCTTAGCGTAGCAATCGGCTCTTCTCAGCCTGGCTTTGGCATACCCAGGGCGAACATTGAGAGCAGAGGAGCAGTCGTCAACAGCCTTCTCCAACTGCCCGAGCTTGGATCTACAGGCGGCTCGGTTGCAGAGCAAAACAGAGTTGTGAGAATCGTGCTGCAGTCCTTCCTCGTACGCCGCCAATGCGTCGTGAAATTTCCCGACCTTAAACAGCTGGTTACCGTTGGCACGAGCCGCCGCGACGGCTCGTGCCTTCCTCATCGCCGCGCCGGCTTCCCTGTTGTTCGAATCCAACGCCGTCGCCCGCTGAGCTGCCGCCAGAGCATCATTGAACCTTCCCATTGCCATGTCCACCTGAGCTCGCACCGCCAAAATGCTGGCGCTGCCAATTGGTCCAAAGAACTTCGTACACTCATCGGCGTCGAAATTCGGGCTCCTTTTCATCGCATCATCTGCTTCCTGGTGCTTGTTGTGCTTCATCAGTGCCTCGGCTTGTAGTGCATATATCTTTCAATGAATCCATACCAGGGAAACAACATCAAACCCATGAATCGATCACTGAAATATGAATTGGGTTTGGAGGAAGGAATGAGATTGGGGCTTACTTGGGGCGCTGAATCTGCTCCTGCTCTTATGGCAGCCTCTGTTTCTCTGATGAGATTGTTCCACTCGCGCGTTCTCCTCGCCTCCGTGCAGTTGTTGAGACAAGTTTGAAGGGATCTCGCCTTTGAGATGTCGATGTGATCCGCCTCCGGACCTGCGTGTTTGTAGTGGTAGATCGATTTCTCCACGTCTCCTAATCTGCAAGATGTGCCCGCAAGGTGTTTGATAAAATGTTTCAATGTCGCGATTAGAACTTGAAAATTTAGTGTATCATCAAAATGTTTCACCTGAGGTACAAGTTGGCAAGGCGGTGATGTGCACGATGGTAATTGGGTTCGATTCGAATGGCTTCCCTGCACTCGAAGACTGCCTCTAGAATCCTTCCCAGGGCTGTTAATGCAGCACTTTTGTTGCTCCTGTACGAGGCCTTATTTGGGTCAATAGCAATCGCAGCTTCGTAAAGAGCCAGAGCCTCTGCAAACTTCCCGTTCTTGTAATCCTCGTTCCCCATGATCTTCAATTGCTCAGGGTCCATTCTCGTTGAAAGAGCTCTGCAAAGAGACGATGGCGCATTGTTCTTATATTCACTTTGTTTCTTCATCGCAACATTCGCCATCCCACTACTTTGATAGTATGCATTCCCTACATCATCCCCTTGCTGTTGCGGTTGCCTCAAGTTTCCTAGATTTCCATAGAGCATCACGTTACTGGAGGAAGCACGAACCAAATGAATATCCCCATTGTTGTTCCTTTGATGATCATTGATCATGCTATCCAGCTCCCCAGAAATGCTAACTTTCTCCTTAGGCACTTTCTTACTTGCATATGTCCCATTAACGTTGTTGTTTGTTGTTCTTGTTGCATTTGGTGTTCTACCTATTGATGATGGCTGTTGGTATGGATGGGAATTCGAGGGAGGGACCTTGGTGGGATGATGATTAATAGGGATTGGGTTTTGATGATGATGACCTTGCATTGATCCATTCATCATGGCTTCTTCCGAGTTCTTTCGCCTCTTTGCGAAACTCGGGGACATGACCAAATTACGGGGGTTGGCTTCTACTGTCGTCACAACGGGTGGGATGGAGCCTGTAGATGTTCCTCTCCGTGACCACATCCCTCCTCCCTTTTTCCCGAACACCGCGGTTAGTAATCCGCATCCAGATCTCTTATCGGGAGAAGGGTCCTCTGTCCCCGCCATGTTATGTCACCTCCTCTCTAAGGCTTGTGAACAAGATGAGAGGAGGGCCAAACACAAATTTGAATATTTTTCTTCTTTCTCCTATTGTTGATGTTACATAGAATGGTAATGAGATATTATCTTGGAAAATGGGATGTTAGAGGAACGACCTGTTGATGGTAATGCAAAATCGAGGATCTGTAACGTTATAGGAGGAGGCAGCGATCAATGGCAACGTTCTCCGTGGTGGAGGAATGGAAGAGTTTGAAATTTTAATCTCAGCCGGAGGAAGAGGAGACCGATAAGAAAGGAATTCATGTCAATGGAAGCCAATATAAGAAATATATTTTACCTCTCTATTTTTCTCTTGGTTGTAGAATATTATGTTATTAGGTAACACAATGGTGAAAGGAATGACAAGAAATTCTCAATTTTTTTCCTTCTTTCTTGCTTAATCTTGCTATTGTTTTGTATTTAAAGTAATGCGAGAGAAAATGAATAATGACGACTTTGAAATTTGGTTACTTAACACCTAAAGTATTAACAATAAAAGTTAACAAAGAATATTTTTGCAAAAGATTCGTTCTTTGTGAGTGTGGTAGAGTTGGTTTTTAGTTAAAAACTATTCGCAAGTTCGAGGTGTTGGTAGTTGAATGGTTATTCTTCGAGTTATTTTTGTTAATTTATTGTAGTTGTTGAAGGGTTGAGATATTTTTGCAAAAGATTCGTTCTTTGTGAGTGTGGTTCTCTAAAATTTTCAACAAACCAAATGGAAAAATTAAAATAACCTTTTGGCTAGTACATCAATATATAACATTAGATGATATTTTATTTAAAGGTGGGGTTAGATGGTTGTATGTAAAATATATACATTTTAATTTACTTGCTTAAATTCACATGAATTGAAATTAATTGTTTGGATTCCCACAGGCCACAACCACTGAACTTTAGAGTTTAGAGTCACCCGCTAAGAGAATAAAAGTGAAAGTGGCAGCAAGGAAGAATGTACTTGTTTCGAAGGTTTTGATATTTAGCTATTTGCACATATACTCCACTTCCACCGTGGTCACTACCTCCTGATCTTGGTTAGCTAAGCTAGAGGAGACTTTTTCTCCAATAACCAAAATTTTCCCCTTGTCTGAGTCAAAACAATCTAGCAATGGAAGTTATGAACTAGGGTCAATACCATCAACAGCCTGTCCAGGAAATCCAGGCAGCCAAATTGACTAAGATGCCGCTTTCCTCTTCATTTCCTTGGCTATCGCTTCAGTCAAATGCTCTGCATTGTACTCCGGCCCGAAACATTTCACCACCTCCTTGTTAGGACCGATCAGATAGCTGTTTTTACAAGTTCAATGTGGTAAAAAAAAAAAAGGGTCATTCAGTAAATGGAAGGTGGTAAGAACATAAGTATCGTATATGTATGACTTACAAGTTGTGGTTTGCCTCCACAAGATAATCATCTTTGTCCTCCTCAATCTTCCTGAAGAAAACCCGGTACTCCAGTGCCATCTGCCTCACAGCACCAGGTGCTCCTGTGAATCCGACGATTCTGGGATCAAACTCTGCAAGGCAATCAGAAGAACCATCATAGCCTTTAATACGCCATTTGGTTGCCATGTATTGTGGAATGCATGTGTTTTAAGAAATAATGCATTTTGTAAATGGGATTGTAGGAACTTGGGCAGTTTCAGAATAAAGTGACTGGGCAAACCCAAAGATTCCCATAGTGCAAATATATGGTATTCATAGCAGATTCAGACAAGGAAAACCGATGTGTTCTCAGGATCACAGGGAAAATCCCTAGTTGTCAAACGAACAACCCTAAAGTGTGTTTGATGTTTGGAACATCACTGATCAATGCATACCTTTGAGATAGGCACGGAGATGGGTAGGAGTGTCACGCTGAGGATCGAGTGTGACGAACACTGGCAAAAGCTTGAGATTTTCCTGTGATTCTTGATCCCCAAAAGAGCTGAATATCAGATACACTGCTGCAATAAGGGGGGAAATGATGCCACATTGCAGAGAGGTGAGTTGGAGATGTCAAACCTAGTTTATCAATGGTCTCGGCCATGGTTTTAACTTGTTCGGGGCCAATATCAGGTGAGGATGTATAGCCGAAGTATAGCAGAACCCACTTCCCTAGAAAGTCACGCTCTGTCACCACTCGCTTCTCGGTATCAATCAGAGAGAATGGACCGCCAATAACAGGACCTGGGCTAAATTGTTCCTTCTGGGTTTCACCTGGTATAGTATACAAGAGACAGAGATGATCTCGGTTATATGATGAAAGGGGCAGAAGTGCATATAATTTACTGTCGTTCTCTACTAATTCAGAAGTTGACCCAAGATTATCTCTTCATCTGATAGCAGGGTCCATAGCCTATCTAATCATACAGACAGGGTCCAAGCATGTTGACACAACTTGCTTATGTGTCACTAAGAGATAATGTAATAACTCAGAAGCGCCATCCAAGAAGCTAAAGCAGATATCCAACTGCCAGCATGGTTGTGGGGCAGTCATCTGGTTTGCTTTTGAATAAATTTAGAAATCGCTACTGAAGGACAGTAGTTCCGGATGAACATAGAAAACTATCCTTCTTCAAAACTAGTGTAGCAGTTAGTGATCACCAAACATGGGCAGTCTTTTCTCAGCCTTAACATCTCAAATGTATACTGGAATGTAGTTCTACACCCATTAATTAAATTTACTAAGAATCTGGAAACTGTTAGGTAGAAGTTTGTATCATAAGTATCAAGCAGAAGATACGTATGAAAACCAAGCAGCCTATGGCATGATATCTCCAACAACTATCCCGTGACTTACTGTGCATTGCTATTGATCAGTCACCTTCACATAGTTTCCTGTGCTCTATTGCAGAAATGATACTGATACTAGCAAAGCATGACAAATTAACCATGCATCTTACTGGGAGAGTTCATGGCTCACATTACAAAATTAATATCCTACGCGATTTCAAAATTTTCAGAGATACACATGCAATCAAACTAGTATACACAGAATACAGTCTAAGATTCTCCAGCCTCAGTACATAACAAATTTGTCCTATGGCAATCAGAAAACACCTAGTCTCAACACCCACAACGCTGGAATCTCTAAACACAATGTTCTTGATCAATGACCAATTAGTAGTAACCAAAGCAGCAAGACAAAAAACCGGACAACTCGACTTTCCCAAAGCAGATCACACAAAAGAAGCATAGTTCTGGCGAGCACCCACCTTCTTTTCTTCTATTTCCATGGGATGTCTAATTTATTCAAACATCATATTGAGTTCAGAAGCTCGTAAAGAGGTTCATAGTAATATTCTGTTCCTATCTCCACTCTATGCGGTGATCAGAAGTTTCATTGAAAAGCAGAACTGTGATCACCGCAGTAAAAGATGTTCATGTCCATATCGATACCATAGAAGCTTGGATTAGCTTACAACTGAGAGAAGTACCTCTTGGAATTGCTCTCCTCTCATCATTGTAGCGGAGGAAAGCTGCCAGACCTCCAAATCCTAGCAAAGCAGCAGGCTGCAAAATCACACAGCATCACTAAAGTTGGAGCCTTCCACAGAACTGAGGAAAAAATGAAAGCACTGATCAAAATGGCACATTGTTTGGGGAAAAGGGGCACCTAACTAGTGACCTAAATGAATCTAAGCAGCAGCCAGCAGGAAATGAAAGAGCTGACTGAAGGAACATACAAGGATGAAAGTAGCATAAGATTTCTCTCGCTGAGGTTCTTCAATAGTGTACACATGCTGAGTTTCCCGCTTTTCACCCCCGTGTTTGGTTGATTTCGTATAGCTACGAGATTGCGGATTCCTTGATAGGCTAAACCTACATCAAATTCACGCATAGCATACTTAACATAAACCCTCGCAAGAAAATGTCACGAAATCATACAAAACTGCAGATTTTCCCCCCGCAACAGAGCTTAAGTTGATCTAGCTGCTCAAAAGAAGCAACTGAAAGTGGCCAAATCCGGTGATTACAGAAAAAATCAAGCAGCCGAGAACCCATCACAAATGGCCGAGCCTCCTCGAGAAGGGCAAGTGGGCAACGAGCAAAACCCCGAAATCGAAGCTCCAAAACCCCATTAATCAACTTCAAAAAGCGACGGTGTAATAGAGAGCTAGATAGGCCAGGGTAGGGGGGTAAGGGTTTGAGGGCGAACCTTCGAAGCAAAGAGAGAGAATGCTGCCTTGGCGCGTGCTTGGATGCGAAGGAAATTAACCGGGAAATGGGCACCATTTTCGCCTAGAGAGAGGTTTTCCTTCCCATGGGTCTTCCTCACTTACTGTGGAAATCGATCAGCTTTATGGAAAGCTGCTGGCTTCCTTCATGTCGTCGCGCCAAGTATTCTGCCTTGTTGCCCAAGCTCTGCCGACTAGGCTCTCGCTGCTCTTGAGTCTTGACTCTTGACTTGCCGTCGGCAAATGAGAAGGTGCCGTGTTACTCTCTCGACTCTTCGTCTGATAAACTGAATTTGGGCCCGGTAGGCCTATTTATTGGGCCAGCTAAAATACTTGAATCCATTGGGCTCAAAAGTTGACGTGGCGAGGAAAACGTGAATTTTTGGGCTGTAGTCCAAAATGGATATCCTAAGGGGCCAATAAAGATCGAGGACTACAATAAAAAGCCTCAATATTTTGATGGATCGTGAGCCGGTACAGAAGTCAAGTGATCATTCTCTTTTAGTTAGATTCTCACCTAGTTGATGCTTGTGGGATAATTGTGTGATCATTGACTTATCCAATTTGTGTGTGGACGGATATAATCCGTTTAGAGGAGATAGAAGCAAATTCCTAGTTGGGTAGATCAGTTGAGGTGACATTGGGCCGGTGAGCCTAGCTAGGAGGGGATCGATTACATGACCATTGAGTCCATTCCCACCTTTGTGACCTCCGCACCTCAAAGTATCATTAGATTATCGCTCATATCAAACCTATAGCTTGAAAGATTCGATTCTAGACAATCATCTCATCTCTAGCAGTCTCCCAACCACTTGATTGGTTGATTAGTTAGGTTAGGTTAGTTCTACCCTCAAACTTCCTATTTGATTAGATAGTAGTTCGGAGTGAAGTAATAGTAAGTCTAAGGTTTTCTTGGAATATGACCAGCAGCTTTACTACAAGCCTAGTATCGGTATACTTGTCCTTGTTTTTTTTTTTCTTATATAAGGGTGATATAGGTTTACTTTTGTGATTAAGGTTCTACTGAAGGGATTTGAACCTGGGACCTCCAGGTTCTAGACTAGTAGCCCTTGTTCGTTATACTTGTCGTTGTTAGGGTTAGAATAGTTGCGCTTCGACTTTAGAAATTTAAAGTTCGGCCCGCACTAGTGTCAATCTACTAGGAGACAAAGTGATCAATATCTTAGGTAAAGTATACATAATAAAATACAATATAAACATACTTAAGTAAATCAAACTATTCTAATGAGTAATGACGATACCCTCTTTATAGTTTGGCCACGAGGTTGTCCCAAAAAAGCACAAGAGAGATGAACGACCTCACTGATATCACTCTGCAGATAGACAAAGATTCTGGCCAGTATTGATCAGCAGCTTCATCTCACCACCAAAATCCACTAAAGCCATCGAGCACGAAAGCACTATATTCCCTCCCATTGTTGGTATATAAGCATTAAGCAGCTTTTCTTGAATAAGGTTAAATGGCAAACTCACGAGAGAAAGGCTAATGAACCAGGACGCCATTGTAGGCAGTGTGCATGAATAATAAGGCTATAGTGTAAGTCGATGGAACTCGAAAGGAAGTTGGGTAAGCTAGAGCTAAAGCTAGATCGAGGGAAGTGGAAAACCAGAAAAAGGGTTAGTGTCATTGAGGCCACGTCCCAATTAATTTGACAAGATGCATCATGCATCATTACCTTTTCTTTAATCTAAAAGAGGCATCATTTCTTCCCCTAACAAAGGTGGAAGGAATCAATCAAATGGCCTTCTTCCTCCTTGCCCATTTGTAGGTGCAATGAATCTAGACACATATCAAACTTGTTCAGTTTAAAACTAATCAAAAGAATGGTAGAGAATGGTGGGTGGGTTGTGGTGTGAAGTTTGCACAGGTTCGATTATACATATTTTCAACTTTTAGATCAAGTACTATTGGTATTATTGCTAGAATTTCAAGAAGAGATTTTTAGGTTAAACGGTCTTGTCTAATAATCATGTGGTCGAGTAGTTACGTTGTTGATGTCAGCGATGTACACGTTAATAACTCAAGTTAGAAACTTGAGTTATATAAACTTTCAAACCTCGATGCTTTTCCAAACTTCGACTTTTTTTTCCTGTACTTTGATATGTTGAATTGGTCTACACTCAAGTACAGTAAAACTTACTTGGAGTCTGTTGAGTAGGTTCCTTGGATCGGTCAATAGGAAAGGCGACATCCAAGTTAAACGCAAAAAAAATAAAAAGTACGGTTGGCCTACACAACAAGTCAACCGATGTGACAACCACAAGGTCGATTGTTCGATGCTTACCACATAAAATACAACTACGCAACTTCGATTGTTCGATGACTCCTATCTCTTTTTAGAAGCCTCCCAGCAGTCTTGCTCAATAGTGCTTTCCTTATTTCAAGTTTACGAAGGTCTGAGTGGCCAGAGGGTTAATCTTCAAAAATCTGCTGTTTTATTCAGCCGAAACACGGTTCCAGACCTAGCTGAGAACCTAGGAAGGCAACTTGGAGTAGGAAGCATTGGAGAACAAGATTATTACTTGGGGCTCCCCTCACTTATTTCGAGGTAAAAAAGGGAGGCATTCCTTTTCATAGAAGAAAAGCTCATCAAGAAGTTGCAAGGTTGGAAGCAGCGGGTTCTCTCTAAAGCTGGAAAAGACATCTTGATTAGGACAGCTGCCACCAATCTTCCAGTACATGGATTGTCGTGCTTCAAACTTCCGAAAGAGAATTGTAGAAGACTAAATAGCCAAGTGGCAAGGTTCTGGTGGGGCTCAGCAGAAAATACAGACCATCCAATTCATTGGGTATCCTGGAAAAGCCTTGCAAGTAGCAAATTTCTTGGAGGTCTAGGCTTTAGAGACTTTGGGGCTTTTAACCAAGCATTGTTAGCTAAACAATGTTGGCGAATTTGGCAAAAGCCGGATTCCCTCCTGGCTTTAATCTATAAAGGTCGATACTTTCAACAGGGCTCAGTGTTGGATGCTAATCTAGGCTCCAATCCTTCGTGGGGTTGGAGGAGTATTCTGTTTGGGAGAGACCTCCTTCTCCAAGGGCTAAGATGGCAAGTGGGAGATGGGCAAGACATTGTGGCCTTCAAAGATAGGTGGGTTATTGCAGATAAACCCATCATCCCGGTGGTGCGCCTTTTGAATGTAACTAACTCCCCAAGAGTTTCCTTCTTTATTAGAGAAAATAGAGGAGAGTGGCATGTCCCAAGGTTGCAGTTATGCTTTGATCCTATTACAGTAAAGCTTATTTGTAAAATACCACTTCCGAGATGCCAACAAAGTGATTCGAAAGTTTGGCACTACACAAAGAATGGCTTGTATACAGTTAAAACGGGCTACCATTTAGCTCTAGAGCTCTCCTTAGTTTCAAGCCGAAAACCACAGGTCCATATCATTGATTCTCCTGTTTGGAAAAAAACTTGGAATATGATAATTCCTCCGAAGCTGAAGTTCTTTATCTGGCAATGCCTTAGAGTGATATTACCAACAGTAGTAGCTCTCAAGTCCAGAGGAGTAATTTGTCGAGCTCGCTGCCCAGTTTGCTGGAGGAGTCAGGAAAGTCTTGAACACCTGTTCTTCAAGTGCCCCTTGGCCACAAGATTGTGGTCGCTCATGGGTCTAAATGATTTCATCTCCTCGGCCCCGACTGTGAATTTCAGTCTCTGGTGGCGACATGTTATGCTTTCTGAGCACTCCCAAACCCACATCCTCCTATACGTTTGTGTATTATGGAGGATCTGGAAGTCTAGAAATAAGGTGGTCTTTGAGCATGTCCAGCCTCTTGCCCAGTCTCTCGCTCGTCAGTGTTTTTTCCAAGTTCGTGAACTGTCTTCCTCCCTTCCTTTGGTCCCTGCTCTGCCCCTGCCTTCCCGCTCCCGCCTCTCGGCTTGGTCCCCTCCTCCTGATGGTTTTTTGAAGATCAATTTCGATGCTGCTGTTCGTTCTTCTGGGTGTTCGTCTGGTCTCGTGGTGCGTAGTTCTGATGGGCATGTGGCTCTGGCTTTGGGGGCCCTTCATCCCGGTATTGCTGACCCCTATCTCGCGGAGCTCCTAGCAGCTAGGGACGCCATTGCCCTTGTAGTCTCCAAATTGCTGCCTCAGGTCATCATAGAAGGAGATTCAGAGGTGGTGATTCGCCAGCTTCGTCAAGGTGCTCTTTCTGACTCCGTTGGAGGTCCGGTGCTTCGGGATTGCTCCATTCTCCTTTCTTCCATCTCCGTTTCTCTAGAGTTTAGGGCAGTTCCTCGGACTGCTAACAGTGCTGCCCATAGAGTGGCGCAGAAAGCACTGTTACTCTCCCCTTTAGAGTTGTGTACCTTCGATTTTGTGGGTTGGCTTCACTAATGTATTGGGTTGGGCAGGGTTGGGGTAGATTGTATAGGTTTTCTCTTGACATTTCTTGGGAAAAAAAAAAAAAAAAAACTTCTATTGGTACTGACATCTTTCTTGGAAATCGGTCAATCGTCATAAGCCACACAACACAAACCAAATAACTTGTATATTGATCGACCACATTGACCAATAAAATTCGACTCTTTTGTGCACCAAGTCACAATCTATTAATTGTGATGTTTGAATATGAAACTGTGGCGTAGCTTAGAGCTACACAGCAATTGCAACAGGAAAAACAAATAATTCAGCGCTACAATACATGTGTGTGTGGGGATGGCGGAGTATGTATGGTATTTATATTGTGCCCTTACCCAAAATGGAAGAGGGGACTCTTTGATCTTGTGATTGGGAGGAACTATTCACAGCTTTTTTTCGAGGAACTGGGAGGTGAACTTAGTTAGAAAGAATGGTTGTGGTTTGTGGGGAGATTTGACCTAGGAGTGTGGGAGAGGAAACTAGTATAGACTTTGCTACAACCAAATTGGGTCAGCATCGAGAAGAAAATTGGAAATACCAAAACAAGTGACCAAACTATATAATGTCCTTGAAAAACATTGATTTAATCGGCGACAATAAGATAATAGTAACGTAGATGTCACGTATTGAAAAAAGAGTATGTGCCTCTTGACACCCTTCGAGGTTTTATTTGTATGTATTCCAATACTTTATAAGCAAACTATTGCTATAATTCCACACCTTTGCAACCACAAAGTCAATCAAGAATGGCATTTGGAATTTGAATGATATTTATTGTATTCGCCTAAAATGATTGAGTTTAACATAAACGATGTATGTATTATTACAAACTATTCATATATAATATTGTATATTTAACAAATTAAAATTTTCTTTTAATTTATTTATCTTTGAACCACCTCTTCAAGAATCATAAGTAATTAAATCATTCATTCCTCTTTTCAATCCTTCATTTCCTCAATTATATTTTTAAAAATATTGTGTTCCACAATACTAACTAGTTAGTAACCTTAACACACATTCAAACCATCGGGCATAATCTAAACAGTGAATTTCATTCAGAAACACATATAAGCATGTATTTCAACAACTCGACTTATTTCGACTACCCGTCTATCAGCATCTCCATCCATATAGCTTAATTAAGATAATCATGTAACAAGCCCTCCAATTACCAAGCATATCACAAAGGACTTACAAGATTCATATCCATCACCCACCAAACCAAACCAAACCAAACCAAACCAAAACAAAACAAAACACAAAACTTAAAAGAAGAGATATATTGCTTCCTGTTAATGGAGCTTCAACTAGAGCCCCATACCACCAAAAAGCATCTTCCCTTTATTCATGTTCTTTTTTTCTTCTTCCTAGTAACCATATTACACAATTTACACAAGGTGATAACTAAGGTACATATAGTCCCATAATAATAGAGCATTACATTCTTGGAGAGGGCCACCACAATTGACCAATCAGATGGGGTGGTGATGTTCCACTCAAATGACAGCCATAACTTTAGCACTAAGGCATGCATCAATGGCTTCTCCAACAGTCAGAAACACCTTCCCACCGAGCTTGCTCACAAAGTTAGCCACCTTTAGCTTGTGGATAACTTCCCATCTTGGGTTGCAGATGGCCAACTGCACAACACATCCAAGAGAACAGGCAGCCATTAAATATGTGTTGATAAGTGATCACATTGAGAGTAGGGAAACTTCATGATCAACTTGTATGATGGTGATAAGTTTCATGTGGGGTGTAATTGCCACCATACCTCCACTCCCTTGGAGATAAGATTCTTGTGTAGTTCTTCCAACGATGCGATCCCCGAGACGTCGATGTTCATCAGATCTGGCAAGACATAACCGCACGTGACAGAAGAAATAATTAGGTGCCGAAAGAGATTAAGTTGTATCAGAGTTGACCCACTAACAAAAAAGAGCAAAATGTGGTGTGTATCGTCATATGTATCGTATCAGTTTATCAAAAAATGAACAATAATATGTTTTAGTATGAGAATCCAACAATTAATGACCTAATAACTATCATAGTCTCTGTTGTTAGCTACTAGTTTCGAACTTCAGACCTCTATCGGGTGATGATAATAAACTTTTCATTAGTCTAAAACAATGTCTTACCAACCATGTCGGTAGATCGGGAATATAAGGTATCGAACCTCAAAATGGTAGGTGGTTTTAGCTGTACAAAATGGTTGAACCACAGATTTTTATACAAAATACCCCTATTACATACATACTTGACTTTTGGGTGGGGGTGTTCAAACGGTGTGGTTACCGTCGTAACCGTTTTAACCGGTAGTATTTGGTTATTTTGGATAAATGGTTTGGTTAAATTTTTTAGCTTGTTTGGTTTAGGTGGTTTGGTTTGGTTTAAGACACTCCTAAGCAATCAAATCAAATTAACCAGTTAAGTAATTAGTCATATATCTAATGTATATTATATACACATACTTAATACTTTGCACAACCACTCAAGAGTTAAATGTAAGATAATTGTATTTTTTTTTTACTTGTATTTGTGCTAAGGATTAACTATAATTATGTGTTATTCATATATAAATTACAAACTGATGCACTAAACGGATATTTTTCTCACTTAATGATGATGTGATATTATATTGGTCGTTTTGGTTAACTAATTAACCAAACCGATCAAACTTTAGTTTGGACGGTTTGGTTATGATATTGTATTTCATGATTAATAGAATTTATACTTATTTGATTTGGTAATTACTATGGTAACCATTTGAACACCCCTACTTTTTGCTGCGATTTCACAATCCCTGGGTATATAAGAGAAACTAGTCTTAAGTATACTTACTAGAGAGGTCAAGAACAACCAGCTGAATGTTCCTTCTCCCATTCACTTTGTCACTCTTCTCATCCACTTCAGTCGCCAATTTCAGGATCCTGTAAAATTAAACACAAAATTAGCTTTCAACACCCTTTAGGATTACCCCTTAAACATAGTTTCATTTCATGAATAACTACCCTTAAAACCATAGTAATTAATGAACCTACTTTTCCTTGACAAAATTGGCATTTGCAAAGCAAAGCAATCCTGACTTGACGCGGATTGTGAGAGCCGGAGGAGTCTCAATTGCCATAGGGTATTGGTGAACGTCACAAAACACCTCAGTCCCAGGAATCCTGCCTAGAATCTCAGCCCCAGGCTGAATCGAGATTAGGATTATCTTCACAAACGATATCCCCACCTAAAATTAAAAAAAAAAAAAATCCAACTAAACAACATCACCAAAAAGAAGAGGGGAAAAAAAATTTGTTTAGCATTGAACTATAACTAGATGTAAAAAAAAAATTGTACCGCGACTAGGAGACCGATCTCGACAGAAGCAAAGAGGACCCCGAGGAAGGCTCCGAGGCAGGCGAGGAAATCCAGCTTGTCGATCCTCCAGATCTTGACCGCTTCCTGGAAGTCGATGAGCCCTGGCAGAGCCGACAAGATGATCGATGCCAGGATCGCCATGGGAGTGTAGTAGAGCAGCTTGGTGAACAGTTCCAGGCACAGGATCACCGTTACCGCCATCACCACATTGGACACCGCGGTCTCGCAGCCCGCGCTGAAATTCACCGCGCTGCGAGAGAACGAACCTGCGAAAATACATGGATCGTTGAAACGGATTAGCTTCTCGTCGCAAAAAACCTTTTAGCGACCAGCTTTTGTCCTTTTAACGACGAATTTCTCTGTTGCAAAAAAGAAGTGTGTTTGTTGTAGTGACACATATGTAATTGGTCGCAAAAAAGGGAAAATGATTCCTTTACCTGTGGCGACGTAGCAAGAGGTGAATGAACCAACAATGTTCATGAAGCCAATGGCGACCATTTCCTTGTTCCCGTCGATGTTGTAACCTTTCATGGTGGAGAAGGATCGCCCCACAGCTATCGCTTCCTACAAAATCAGATGAAGAGAAGAGGAATTCAACCATCAAGCTATTTCGTTTTCTATCTGGTGGTAATATCACTGATATTGAACCTAAAAGTCTCATATTCTGTTAGCTATTATATAACTACAAAAACAAACCTATATCGTTTTTATAAAAAAAAAAAAAACTTTGTTGCTAATGATTCCTAGTTAAATTAAAACTTGTTAATTTTATTAGGGAAATTACTATGGGGATGTAAAAAATATCCAATATCAGGCTATTACTCAAATCTAGCTTATTATAGGTCAGATAAGATTTGAGTAATTTTACTTATGGGACAGACTCATAATCAACTTTCCAGTTTGGGTTTAAATTGAACACATATCGTTGAATACCAAAAACAAAATAATACCCATTTTAATATTATTTTTTATTTTTATTTTTTGTTATGAAACAGACAGAATGGTGGAAATAGGGTTGAAAGCAGTTAATGAGATGATCGGTATTGTCTTTTGTTAGTATAATCATATGGACCCAAATAGAACCATTTGGATCCTACCTAATTGTGCCCAATTCAAACCCAAAATTATTACAAATGTGTTTCGGTCCAACCCGATACTCATATGGATATCATGACATTTAGGTCAAATTACCGAATGAATCGAACTATTATCATTCGTGCAAATTAATAAGCCAACCATATCTATACTCACAGTGAGAGCAATAACGGCGACGACGAGGCCAATTTTGACAACTTCTCCTAGATGTGGGTCGTTGAGCTGTAGCTGGTGCACCGAGCTAGGGTTTAAGCCGCCTTTGATGTGCTTAATGATCTTCACTCCATGCTCGTCAGCTTTTGTCAGGTAAACTATGAGAGTCGACGCGACGACAGAGATTAGAGGTGAAACGGCAGCCAACCAGAAGAGCTTCTTGTACCTCCTACCCTGAGATACGTGTATTTTTCAAGTAAACTTTTGATTAAGATCAGCAATGGAGTATTGGTTAATTACATAAACAGTCATAGTAACTCTAAGTGCATGTAACCAAATTGATGCAACTTACCACAAATCTGGTGATGAGGATGAAGCACAAGAAGGCAGATCCCAGGATGAAATTGTACGGATTCCACTGCCAAAGATTCAACAAATCAGCAGCATAAGGGTAAAATCGAAAGCAATTCGACTCTGGCGCTGACATATGTATCGTGGTGTGCGCATGAATTGATATCATAGAATCTCTCATCAACGCGTTTTGACTATTTGAATGAATGCATTATAAAAACGAAATGATAGGGTATAATCCCAAAACTACAAAATTTATAAAATTCGTATCTTACTACCTCTACTATCAGGAAGTGATATGATTCGTATCAGAGGTAATAAGACACGTGTTTTGCAAGTTTTGTATGTTCCAAATTTTGCACGGTAACCCAGATCTTATCAAAATAATATTTTGTTCATTTAACGATTGAAAATTAGAGATGGGCGATAAAACGATATCAACTCATGTAAACGCTGGCGTTTCAACGTTCTAGTCCAAATTCAACTTGGAAGACTCTTTTTGAGAGAAGAGAGAGAGAGAGAAGGCAATCAAAATATTTACAGATTGATGAACGGCCTTCCAAATAGCTCCGGCGACAGAGACGACATCGGTCTTGTTAGTGAAATGAGAGATCCCCAGCAGCCCTTTCAACTGCTGGAGCCCGATGACGATCGCCGCTCCGGCCATGAACCCGACGATGGCGGCGTGGGACAAGAAATCGACGAGGAAGCCCAGCCTGAACATCCCAAACCCTGCCTGGAAAATCCCCGCGAACAGAGTCGTCGTCAGCACGAGGTTCCGGAACGCCACCGGGTTCGCCGCCGGGTCCTGCAGCTTCTGCACCATCGACGATATCAGCAGCGACACCACGGCGACCGGCCCGATCGCCATCTCCCTCGACGTCCCCATCGCCGCGTAGATCAGCGGCGGGATCACGCTCGTGTCTTTGTTTGATGCAGGGGCGCAAAATTGGGGAAAAACAGAGTAATTAAGAAACAGAGTATAATGGTGGAAAATGGAAGGACCAATTTTTTTTGTTCGGGGCGCGGATTTGGACTTACAGAGACCGTACTGTGGATCCAGATTGGCAAGCGTCGCGTACCCAATGCTCTGGCATTACGAATTATGAATTAATCAAGAAATTTTTTTTTTGTTACATTCGGTTTAACATTTTTATCGAGTACTGCTGCAGCAGAGACTGTACCTGAGGAATGCAGAGGCTGGCGAGGGTGAGGCCGGCCATGAGGTCCTTCTTGAACATCCTGACTCTGTATCCTCTGGCCCAGGAGAGCACGGGAAACACCGACTCGAGCAGCTCGAGACCGGGGCGGCGGGTGCAGTTCCCGAGGGAGAAACTCTCCCTCAGGGAATCCACAGCCGCCCTGCAGATTCCCGGGGGTGCTGGACTCTCCAGCACCCACCGGGATGAGTTCTGGCCGCCGTCGCGACCATGGGACTGCCCTGCGGCTTCCTCGAGGTCGTGAGTGGCCATGGGTTTGTTGGTTTGAAGTGTTTGGGAGAACCTTTGAAGGTGCTTTTCTACCATAGGTGGTGGGAGGGAGAGGACATATGCATTGATGGACTGGTCGGGGGAATTTTTTTCAGAGGTGGCTTAGATTGAAAGGGGAATGGTCAACTGGTGTCTCACATGGCAATGAGGATGTATACGTGGTGGGAAGGATGCTAAAGTAGAGAGAAAGAGCTAGTGTGGAACTAAGTGAAGGACCAGCTTCGACTTGGATAGCTTTATATAAGGAGATGGAGGAGCAAATTCAGTGGTGGGAGAGGAGGAAGAATCTCTTTCTTTTTATGGTTTTTAAGAAACTATTAATGTGAAAAATAATGGGGCATAAAACCACCAAGTACATGACCAATAATATGCATTATTGGAAAGATAGTAGATCGTGGTGATGGGAACCAGACAGTTTAAACCGTCCCTGTTGTAATCGAAAATTGGATTGCATCCTGATTTGGTACAGTTTTCGATCAGTCTGTTAGCCAGAAAAATCTGTCTGATCTAGTCAGGTTTAAAACTAAAAAAACTAAATTAATCGAATAAACTTAACACGACAAAGCCCCGGGCCAGCTCACAACCCAAGCCCCCCCAGACCTACTCCTGTCAACCTCATTCATCCCATCCCATCCCAGAGCGGCAGAGCCCATCGGAATCAGTACCCCTTCTCGCGGGCTCATGGCTTTGCTTGTTCAGATTCGCAGGAGGAGTGGGTGGCGATGGTACTACTGTTACCCGCCGCCATCTCAGGACAACGACCTATCTGTTAGTCACGTCGACAAAATATAACCCCGGTTAACAGAGACTGAAGGAAGATTTTTGAAGGAGTGTATCCATACACAACATTCTGAAGTACCTCCTACACCATGCATTTGAGATTGAGCCATTAATTTTGTTGGAGATTCATTATTGTGCAATTTTGTTGGAGATTCGATTATATATGTATTGATCCTAAGTTTATCAATATAATGCAAGGTTAGAATGTCCTTTTCACCATATTAAAAGAAAGTATGATTTTTCTTCATAAAGAGAATATATTTGTTCTTGTACTTGCCTACTATGACAAATAACACCACTCAAATTTAAATCAAATCAAACAATCAATAAGGGATAAAAACGAATTTGTAGAAAAGGATGCGCCACTTATTTTCTTATATATATCATATCACTAGAAATTGACAATCACTTTCTTGAAAATTATGTTTAAATTTAACTTTTAGAGGACAAGATCCTCTATACTTAGTCCACACTACACATAATAATTGCAAAGTTTATTTGTGAGTTCAACTTGGTCGTATATATTTAAAATATAATACTACTAAGACACAAAAATGTAATCAAATATAAAAAAAAATTACAATAAGAGGCTCTTATAGCCTTATTCAACTTTGGAATTTCTTCTATAAAAAAAAAAGCCTTTGAATTTGTCGAGTTTTTAAGGGGTGCACAAAGTATCATCTTACCTTAAAACACAACGCAAGGAATCAACAAATAGTATGCAAATTTCTATTACTTTAGGGTGGTTTAGTGGGAATGAGACCGAAGTCATGAAGCTTCAACTTTTTAAGTAAGAAGGCATGAACAGCTTAGAAAGTAGCTTCTCAAATTCATACAAGCTTGGATATGGTGAATTTCGACCTTTTTATGAATTAGAGCAAATTGGTTGATGTCATTCAAAACAAATCCTTACTTCAAATGCTCGCCCTTATAAAATAAATCCTTACTTCTAATGCAAGTTCATGGATTAGACCAAATTTTGAAGATGTAGAAGAAATAATAGTATTTTAGTGACATATATGTTGTTCAAAGTTCAAGAATTTGTTTAGAAGGAACATGATCGTTTCAACTGTCACCTTAACCATTAGATTATCAGAAAAACATGTTTTTTAGAAGGTTTACGTGCATTTGTTAGTTATTTTTCGTCATCGTACATTTTCCACACGTTGCAGGAGAAATTTACCACTATGTTAGTCTTCATCTATCTCATTGAGTCATTTCCTTCCGTCTTCGTGCCTCCATTTTCAACCGCTGAGAATTTCATAGATTTAATAAATTATCTAGGTCTTGAAGTTTGGTACAGGTGTTTAGGATATATCGAATACCGTACCGAATTTATCACTATTTGGTATCACCGAAAACCGGTTTATTTTTAAGGGATTGGAATTCATATTAGAGTGTTATTCGATATTCAGGATTACGAGATTGGGATCGGTATGTAACAAAAATACCGAGAGATACCAAAAATTAGAAATTAATGAAATATAACACACAACATTTGGTCATTGCTCACTCTTTCACAACTTAGAAAACCCCATCCAACTCAATTTTGACTTTCCCCTTTAAGTCATTCTCGTCTCTCACCTAATCTCTTGTTATTTTCATAACACCTAAAAGCAAACACTAGTATTAGTGTCTCTCAACCTCCAATTTATCAAATTAAAAATTATCAATGACAAGAATTTGAGATGTCACATCTCCTCCATTTTCCTTATTGATATCCTAGCTGTAGCCTGTAGGTATACTCGAGACTTTTGTTAGTCTATTTACCCTTGATTAAACATCAAATCTAATTTATAATTTTAATTATTAATTGCAAACATAATTAATTTCATATTAGATAATACCAATTGTGATACCAAAATATTTAGGTGGAATTGAAATTGTGATACCAAAATTATTTCGGGTTGGGATTGAAATTGATTTTAAGGTATAATTCGAAATTTTAATATTTGGTATTCGATACCGATACCATACCAATTTCCACGCTAGAATTATCACTTGAGCCCATATATATTTTCGCGGGCCGGTCCAAAGAAAACCATAAGCAGCCCAAAAAAATTACTTCCGTGATCCAGCAAAGAATCCAGCCACTGTACTGATCAAGTTTATGGCCGAGTTCTGCGCCCTATTGTGTCCTCATCAAGTGGCCTTCATCTTCACTCTGGTCAGAGAGCAAGTTTCACAGAACCAGCTAAGCTCACTGGTCGTGTAATATGGACAGGTCAGGATCTGCCGAGAGCCTGGAATGCAAATAAACAGAGCACATCACACGCAGAGCTTGAATGGAACTAGCAGGTAGTGTTTTGATTACCTCGTACAATCAGGATGAGGAGCCTCAAATAGGGTACTCGAATGCCTCGCTGTCCGAATTCGCTATCTGGAAATGAGAAACTGACATCAGAAGCCCCAAACCAAGAGCATCTTCATCAGATCCAGAGCATCAACATCCAACAGACTGAAGCTCCAAAGGCGAAATCGTCACTGATCAGAGTTGTTCTCCAGCAAGACGTGGATGATAACAGGGGACAGAAAACATGTTCAATCATTCATGTCTTCTACTCAATTGAACCGCCTAAACACAAGAAAGAACTTATTGATGTTCATCAACATGCAACTAAGAACCATCAATTAGGCTTCACAATCTTGATCACAGTAACAATCAACCTTAACCCCACAAGTCAAACATCAATACAAGAACATCTCCATTCAGATGAGATGAACACAGACCTCCAGCCAAATGGTAAAACAAACCTCCATGTCGCTGAACCGCAGCTCTGATGGAAGATTTCGAAAAACAAGCCCACATAATATGATAGAAGAACTAGTACACAAACAGAGTCAGAGACATAGTTCCATAATCCAACATTCTACACAAACTTGGAACAAAATATAGACCATATGGCTTCACAAGGGACTTTCTAAGCTTAACAAATCATACATTTCATAATCCCAACGAAAGTAGTGAAGTACTACTACAGCTAAAAGAGTAATAGCTAAAACCCTACTCCCGGATAAAGTGAAATCCAAGAGGGAGTGTCATGAGAAACAGCATATGCAGAATTCTTCAGACTTCTTCCTGGACCAGCAAAAACAAGCGAAAAGAACCATGTACATTAACGCAAACCCCCTATCCATTGTGCAAATCGCAGAGTAAAACACTATGTAAGTCGGAAGAGACTTAACATTAACGCGGGTCGATCAATTAATTAGAGATTAGTCACCCAGCGCCAAATGCTCTTCTCAAAGGGAACACTCTCTTATACCTGCACTTGTCCTGATCCACCATCTACTTTGTCCTCTAAGATGTCCTTCACACCACAATTTCCTCCCAATGCAGTTACCTCTTCTGGCATCACGTTATCCCTGGGTTCTTCCTTGTTAGATACTAATGCATCTGTCGCCAAAGGATCCCTACCCTCTTCACACTTTACCTCTTTCTTTTCAACAACTTCATCACCAGACTCCAACATACAAATATCATTGGTCTCTGACTTGACATCGTCTCTATTGTTCTCATTAACATTATTCTCGTCCTTAGAGGGCTCTTTACCTCCATCGAGGTGCTCCATCCTCGGCATCTCCTTGTTATCAGCAACATCATCTGACTCACCATGACCTTCGGACTCGTTCAAACCATTCTCAGAGACATTCTCCACAGTTTCTTCATTAACTTCCTCCATAACTCTACCACCCCTATTGCCCTGCCCGCGAGGAGGATGATGCTGCCTCTCCAAAAACTCCATCCTCCTCCTCAAATCATCCAACTCGCTCTCCATCAGAAACAGCCTCTCCTTCAAGGTCAAGTTCTCTTCCTCTAGCTGTGCTATATGAGTGTCCTGATCATCTACCCTGTTCTCCAAAAGGTTATTATAACTATACTCCCCTCCAGCATTACTAGGATATATCATCTCAAACCTACTCAAATCATGATCCAACCTTCTCTCCACCTCCACATGTTCCTCCACGTCACTCTCACTCGACCCGCTACCTTCGTCTTCCTCGTCATCTTCATTCGCCTCCATCTCATGACCCGGCGACCTCAACCTAATCAAACCTTTCATCGATCCGTACCCATCAACTCCCCATTCCTCCTTAGCCACATCACCAAGCACCTCCATCGGGTGAATTTCAATGTCCGGCGTTGGCAGAACAGCAGGGGTAACAGGACAAGGCGACACCAGCGACGCAATCCCACCGGACTTCTTGGCACGGATAATGAACGACGTACTGTTCCTAGGAGCATACGGAGCATAACGGTTGTTATACTTCTTCTTGCCATGGTGATAGTGCTTCTGAGTTTTCATCCAGTTCTGGTTTTGCAGCTCATTAAGACTGGGCGGTATGTAACTCGCTCCTCCAGCAACACCACCGGAACCGGTTAAGCTGCTGCCACCACTAACGTTGCCATTGTTGTTGTTGGATTTGCTATTAGACATCCTCCGGTCCTTATTCTTACCCTTCCAGTTGTTGTTACTCGTTCTGGGCTTCGACGGCGGCACAAAATACCCGAACTTCCCAGGATGCAGCTGATTCTGCTGCTGCGGCCATGGATTATACCCCATCTGCTGATTCTTCATCATCATCTGCTGCTGGCTCATGGCTGGGCCATGGCTCAGCATCTGCTGCGGAGGCTGGTTGGTAGGGTTCATCATCTGCGGCTGAACCGGGTTCATCAGCTGACCCGGCTGCCCCATGGTCATCGCCATCACCGGCGGAGGAGGCGCCTGGCTCATGATCGGAGGTCCCGCCGGAAGCGGGTTCATCACCGGACCCGCCCGGCCGGAACCACCGCCCATCATCATCTGCTGCGCCTGATCATTCATCACAGCAATTCAAAAAAAAAATAAAACAAAACACTAAACAACAGAGAAATCAGATCCCGGCAACCAAACCCTAGAAACCTCGATTCCCCTAGGGTTTTTCCAGGGGAACAGAAAAGGAGAACCAGATCGGAAAAAGACGATTCAAGTTCCAGAATTATTGTCTCCGTCCGCTGAATTTCGTTCAGTTTCCAATTCAAATTCGCGGGGGAGAAGAAGACGAGATCTGATAATAATGGAATTGAAAAGGGCTCCAAATCTGAGTTTTTTTTTTTTCCTTCTGTTGAGTGCTTTTTGGGTTATAGCTTTGTTTTGATAATTTATATTCTTTTCGTGACGCACGGATCTCGCGTTAATGGCAGGGAAGGGTGGTTGCTTTATATAATAAAAATCATGATAATCGAAATTTAATTCGGAAAAAGGAAACCTGTCTGCTTCGCCAACGTCTCTCCTCGTACACGGATGGGTGACAGGTGGACGGCTGATATCGATTATCCGTGCGCTGGTGGGATATTGACGTGGGATGGGATGGCCTTTTGTTTAACCGACTTTGAGATAGATATGTGGATCAGGAGAGTTTTGTTTTGGGCTGGGCTCGAGATGGGAATTTGGATTTTTTTCTTTGGGAAACAAACTCAAAGGAGTCCACTGAAGGAATAAGGCCTTAGACCTGGTCCACCGAAAGGGAGGAAATGTTAAAAAAAGGGGCAGGCGAAGCCCACACTCGCGCCAGCCGCAGTCCAGCCCAAAGTTTCAACACGACGAAAGTGTGGTAGGTGAGGGGAGGTTTTCAGATTTGTATACGCCGTTTGTAATTGAAGGAAATGGAAATTTGTTGGTTTGAAGTTTCAACCAATGGTTTATAGTGCTCGCAATCCATATGTGAGAATGCGTTATTTATGGTTAGATGTGGTGGCATTTTATATTAAAAAATATTTCCGCTTCGATCCAGCGATTGTGTAGTGGGTTAATACACGATTTTGTGATAGCTTTACCTTATGAACACGTCCTCACATATTAGGCCGTGAGTCTTTATCAAAATCCGATGATCGTGATTATTAGGTACTTGAAGTTCGTACAGAGTCGTTCACAACTTCGTATTGTGAGAGGTTTTGAATTCAAGTTAGTACAATGAGTACTTATCGAATTCTAATCTTATAAATCTCAAGATCTAAATTATAGATTTGATAATTGTGTAATTATAGAAATTTACCCAACTCGCCCGATGAAGATTTCAAGTACAATTGTTCAAATGCACCCGAACTTCTACTAAGCACTTTCATCATTATGACAAGATCATCTAATTCGGAGTCTTAGAAACCGTTTTGTGTATGAAATATCTAACAACCAAAACGAATATACTCCACACTCAGTTGATTGATTCATTATTGGTTTGGTTAAATTATTAGGTCAAGTTGCTGCATGCACAAAGAACCAAAGCAAATAAGCGTCGGCCAACGAGCCCAAAGAATCCATGGGGTAGATCGATTGATAGCTAAAAACATATAATAGAGAGAGGGAGAGCTTTGGTTAGGCACCACTTCTTATTTTTATTTGGCTACCATTTCATTTAACAATAGGCTGATCACTCGTACATTTCAAGGCCAAAACTATGATATTTCATCCCAACATGTATCGATCGATCATTATTTGAGGGGACCAAACTTCCACCACATGCACAAGTACAAAACACAAAAGGACTTCTTCCACCACCACACTAGCTAGCTAGCTAGAACGGAGCGAAAAAGACGTATCTTCAAAAGATCGTACATGAGATTACTAGTTAGAATGATGGGTTAATGTCTAAATGTGGTCATTCAAATTTTTTTTTTTTTTTTGTTGTTGTTACAACAATGATATATTTATGACAAATTGGCGATTTAAATAAACTTCTTAGCAAAATGGTCGTTAAGATTTTTACAGGGAAGACATCTGGTGATAAGGTTAGAAGACTCCTCTAAAACTTAGTGGTCAACACGTGCGGTGTGGTTGAGAAAGATGCAGAAGAATTCATGAGGAGCACAATGTGTCCATTCCAACTTCATTATGTTTTGCGTAGAATTTATAAAGTTGTAAGATTTGGCAAAAACATATTTGAGTTAAGAACCGATACATCTCAACAACTCGAGTTATTTATTAAGATTGGACATTGAATATTACACATATTTCAACCTGGAAATGAGTGATGAATTAGTAGGGTTGCAACATGCAACTTTGTTATTAGAAAAAAGAAGCCACCACATGCACTCATGCAGCCACTTGCACTGCCTTTTTGGGCTGCTGAAACAAATAGCCAGGCAGCCCTAGCCAAATTGCTGTGAATCTGAGGGGTTGTTTGGAAGTTGTGATTCTTCAAATTGATGTATTGGGACAATTAGTGTATTATCATTTGATGGATTGAATCAATTGATGTATTAGGTAAATATCTTGTTTGGAGGTTTAGATTGTGTTTTTGTCCCAAAGGTAAAAAAGTTGTATTGAGTGATTGTGAAGAATCTCAACAAAAAGTAGAGATTGTAAATCCCTCAATATTGAGTGATTGTGGTGGGGCCTCCAAAAAGTAAATGCATGTATTCTAGTTCTACATAAACCAAAAAAACGACTTAATCTCACAAATACATGAATTAGATCAATACACCATTTGAAATCACAACTTCCAAACGACCCCTGAAAGTCTCTGGAAGCTTTTTTTTTCTAGCTACCCAAAAGAAGTCTCTAGAAGCTTTGCTAACCCTTTGCATCACGAGAGTAATGTGCAAGTGTCAAGTATAATATTCGGGCTCGTTTGCCTGTTGGATATAAAAATAAGGGTTTTGAATTATAATTTTTTTTTTTTGAATTTATGATGGATTTGTTGCATTATAGATTTGGAAGAGTACATTGTTTGTTTAGCTAATTTTTAACATGGATTTATGATGGATTTGTCTCACAACTTTGTTCTTCCATGATCAACTTCCAAATGAAATGTAAGATTTGCAAATCCGTGGGGGTCCATGGATTTGGATCTAAAAAAAAGGGTCCAAATCCATGAGCCCCCACGAATTTGTGTCTCTGAACAAACAAATTCTTGATGCTTGGAATTTGGGTGCCAAATCCATCAGCCCAAATCTCACAAACAAATAATACCTTAGTCATCCAAAACCGATTTCGACATACTGTAATAACTCAAATTATTGCAAATAGATACGTAAATTAATTTACGTTGTTGCAAATTAATGTTACCAAACTCTTGCTCTATTGTGGAAATTATGATACTATACCTCCCACCAGAATTCCCACTTGCTACAGAGTACTGAGAAACAAACGTGCCTTAACCCATTTGCTTTGATACTCGACTTCTCTAGAAGCTTGGGGGGAAAGCTTCTAGAAGCTTTGTTGCCAACTGCAGCCACGAGAATAATATATATACATATGCGCGCCATTAAAATACAACAAAACATGAGCTTATTATATTCGGTAAGATTCTCTTTGTGTTCTTTAGTAATATTCTGCAGGATTCTCGCTGCTTAATCGACAGAGATACTTTTACTTTGGATTTTGCAATGGGATTAATGTATTGGGGGAAATGCTCGACGAGGGTTGTTGGGAGGTCGATTGGGGAATATTCAAGGATATATTACAACAATTTATGTTTATTATCAAGCAGTTGATGATCCTACTAAATCTAATAGATTAGGTACCAAAATGTAAATTATTTGTAAGGGCTCTCCTCCCTACAGCACGATATATAAAATCAGATCCTCTACTGATAATAGTAATACTGTGAGATTTTATGGTTGATCAGTATATAACTGAATCCACTTTCTCTCTCAATTCTTTTATTGATCGACCGTAAATTAATTTCTTTAATTTCGACTAATACGTTGTACTAGGGGTGACTATAAGGTCCGGTCCGGTTAAATTGGCCCAAATTGATCCGGTCCCAGTTCGGTCATTTGGGAAACATGAGGACCAAAGATTGAATTGGATACAGTCTGGTCTTGATCCGGTCCGGTCTTGACCCTGTCTGGTCCCAATAATTCGGTCTTGATTTTAGATTGAGCTTGTCGGGATTTGAGTGGCCTGAGGACTCAAAGGGTGAGGAGTTGGTTAAGTTTTGGGTGTTGGACTCTCTTATCCGGTCTTTATCCGGTTTTTCATCCGGTCGAATTCGAGCAAGACCCGAAACGGTTTTTTTACCTCAAATCTAAGCCCGAAAATTGGATTGGATTGTTCATTTGCTATCCAGTTCCGGTCCGGATTATACGATCCGGTTGCGGATAAAACCAAATAGTCCGGACCAAATAGCCAGCTGTAAATTGTACACTCAGATGGCTATGAAGAACTTCATCGTCACTCTTCTTCTAACTATTACCATCAATCCAAAAATTTCTTACTTTTTCCTCTTGGCGAGTTTTCTTAATCTCCACAAATCAAGGGAGGTTGAGGGAGATATAGAAGTTGATTTTGGCTTGGCTTCCTCTCATTCCTCCAAAAATTAATCAAGTTGAGAATGATCACTAATAATATTTCATCAATCGTGAAGGTGACCATTAATGGGGTCTCACACGTGAGTACAATAATTTCAATCAATTAATATAATTATTATTGAAGGGTACCAACCATTCTATATTTTAGCATTTTGCTAATTTGATAATTTACTCCATAAAGGGAAAGACAAAGAAGAGAAATGGAATATGTTTGGTTGAAAACTACGGATGCCCAACCAAACCCCACGAGTCTCACATGAATGTTTTTTTTTTTTTTAAGAGTATCTTCCATCATGATCAATGGTAATTTAGATGCCCCCACACTTGGATTAATTAAGTTACAAAAAATTTCCTAAGACAAGGAAGAGACCATCGCATACGTTGCAAAAATGTTAAATTTGAGAAATTTTCAGTTACTTGCTGAAAATTAACTATGGCAGAGGTTTTGTCTTAGAATTTACTAGTAGTGACAGCTTATGAAGTTCTTGTGTCTAACTCCCGCATGGGCAAGTTATTGACGGTAGGGCGGACAGTTTCTTTTGTTCATCGCTGATTGTTGCAAAAGCTAAAGTCATGCTTATTGCTATTAGGTTGGTCAATACTCTCCATGATTGTTCCCCTCTCTCCATATACATAAGCAATATGAAGACCCGACTCAATACTCTCCACATTGATGTCTAGGCTCTCAATAATCGTAAACAACACGCCCAATTCTTGTCTGTCGAATGGATGAAACAATTCTTCGAATTGGTGGCACATAAGAGTCCCAATAATCATCCCCATCAATCTTGAATCGTGCTCTTCATTTCTATCTATCTATCTAGTGGTAAAACCGTGGAACCATCCAAGTTAATTAGCAATGTCAAAATTCACATGCATGTTTTCTACCTCAACACGATTGAACAAATTGCAAATTGAGAACATAATTGAACTAGTACTATTTCTCCAACTACCGCCATCACTATCTGTCCTTCTATCAAATTCCAAGACATTATGGCCCCATGATATTGAATGATTTGAGGAAAAGACATACAATAAGTTATAAGTAAAACGAGTCTTCGAACATATGAGGTTCTTCTTATCACATGAACCTAGCTCCTTTGCCCTTTCATTGTCAAAGTGTAACAAAGGAACTGTGTGTTCCAGCAGCCAAGTAATTGGACACTATGAATTGGGCTTCTTTTTTTTGTAACAACCATTGTGTGTGAAGGAGAGGATATACAGCACATGCATGTCCAACATATGAAGCTAACAGCCATTTCAGTGGGGATCCTTCTGGTTTCTTCTTGATGTCATTTTGCTTTAACAACCGTTCTTTGACTTTGTGTGAAGGGTGAGTAAAGTCTTTTGTTAGTAATGGTAAAAAAATTCTTCATCGGCATTTCTCAATAGCTCGAGTTATTAGAACTAAGCGGTTATTGTCATAGTATGAGAGTGTTCGATAGTCGAGAGGTCTTGTGTTCGAATCTCAGCGACCTTCATTTGTTACATGTGCAAATTTCAAGCTCACATGAATTCACTTTCGCTTGAGAGGGTGTTGCTATTGTCTGAAAACCGACTATATTTCATCGACTGAAAGTCACGAGGGTCTCACTGTTAGCAAATAGTATAAGATCCATTATGTTCTATTTTCGGCCTGGTTTATAACCTCTTTTTTTTTCTCTTCCTTTTCATGTTGGATCAGGGTTAGGCCATGTGGAGAAAGTGCTATATATATGTCATCATCTCTCTGTAATTTGTATCTTCTCAAGTATGGTGAAGCTGATCTCTCTTGCTCGTGAATTAGGTAACACACATCATGTCAGCGAATCACGTATATCTATATGTGTTCTTTACTTTCTTGCATTGACAATTTCTCGTTTCCGTTATAACAATGAGCATATTATCAAATGGTATACGATCCATCATCGAAATCACTCCTAATAACTCAAGGGGCCACCAAAGCATAATTAATGGCAAGTGTGTGACAAAAACCATCATGTGGCCACCTTCATTATTTTGCTACTATGAATGCTGTGAGCCCCTCACTCTGGGTGTGGAGATTTGCATTATTTGCATCCTCTTATGAAATCTCGATTGAGACAATGGGAAAAATGGGGAAGAGAAGCTGTGTGTGTAGAAATGGCAAGAAGGTCCACGATGAATGAAAAAGGGAAAAGGAATGGGACAGCCTCAGAAAGACAATTATTTGATATGTGGATCTAAAGGGAAGAGAATTGGTGAAGGTGGACCAAAATCTTCCATGTGATCTCCTCGTCCTTCCTGCTGCCTTGGAGCAACAGAGAAAAAAGGAAAAGGAGTCCTTCTATGTCTTGGTGCAAAGTGGTCTTTTTTGGTGCAATGGAATTGGCCATTATTGAAACGATGAAAACCAAGTTTCAGCACTACCATGAACCATATTTCTTCTCATGCTCGGTTGTTGGCTAAAGTGTTGAAGTCACTTCAATTACATCTGAAGTTCAGATTCGATATTCCATCAAATTTCCTTCGTAACATACTTACTCATCAACTACGGTTTATACCTAGTAACTCTTGAGACGGAACAATGGTTCGATGTGAGGGTTCTCATTCACGTTTCGATCATCCGACTGTTTCATGGTGGAGGATAGTTGAGAAAAGACGAAGGTAACTCCTGATTTACCCCCCAACGATCTAGCCATAAGCTCGTGATATGAAATAAGTTGAGAGAAAGTTTAGAAAAAAGAAACAAAAACGTGAGGTAGAGATTGAGTTCAGTTGCTTGGAGGATTTGAGAGCTAGAGACAATTTACGTGCGGACTCGTATCCAAAATCTATATTGTCGTCGGGTTTATCATATATTTGTATCCATGATGTCATTTTACCCTAAAAGTTAACTTTGTATCACATTAATTAATTAGAAGGAATTTAATTACTTTACAAGGCCACATCAAGATCAAATAATAAATGAATACTTCGGCATTATTGGGTTGGTTTGTTGGAAGTATGACAAACCCATTGGTGAAAAATTTAGCTTCCCAAAAAAATTAAGTATAGAGTCTAAGAGGTGGAGACTTATCAAGTAAGGTACCAGCCGATGAGACAGACTTGTTAGCAAACTAGCAATAAGGTTTCGGTGGCAAGCTGGCATGGTATCAAGCCGGCAAGCATTAAGGTATCAAGTTGATGGCACATGCTTGGTTGCTAGTTCATAAGAAGGGTCACACCTGGGTTATGTGACAAGCCCAATAGTGTGAACCTAACTTCGCAATACTAAGTATGAAACCCTAAAGGAAGATACTTGTCAAGCAAGGTACCATCCGGCGAGACAGACTTGTTAACAAACTAGCAATAAGGTTTTAGTGGCAAGAAGGATGATATATATCAAGCCGATGAGACAGACTTGTTGACAAGTTGACTAGATGGACTTGCTAGCTAGCGAGTCGAATGGTATCAAGCCGAAGAGAAAAACTTATTGGCAAGATGGACTTTCTGGCAAGGCGGTAGGGTAGGGTACCAACTCGACGAGACATGCTTGGTGGCAAGTCAAAAGGTTTCAAGCCGATGAGATGAGCTTGGTGGCAAGTTATCTAGGTGACCAGTTGACGAGATGGACGTGGTACCAAAACTACAAGATGGTACCAGATTGAGCTCTCCAAAACCAAGCATGAAATCTTTGTAGGTAAGGGGCCATCCATCAATGGGGGTACCAAGGCCTAACTAACAAGACAGTTCCATCGAAGTGGTCAGTAAGACGGGAGCAACAAAGAAGCTAAGTATGGAGCCACTGGGGGGCATCAGTGATGTGATCAAGACTTTATCATGGAAGCAAGGCAATGAGACTTCAACACCATCTTAGTCACGATGAGGCGGCAAGACTTGGATGAAATTCAACTCAACACCATCTCGCCCCGAGATCAAGGTCACCAAGACGAAACCAACTATGATGGGGACGAGAGGTCCCTAAGGCTCCAACTTCATCATTTCTCTGCAGTGTAACAATAGTGTTTAGCTTTTAGTTTCGAGTTCTCACTGAACATACGTAGGAATAAGAATAACTTAACATTATTATATCTGTCCCAAAATCCATCAAAAATACCTAACACTCTCGTTTAAACTTTATCTGAACCGTATTATAGTTGTCAAAAGGAAATTCTTTGATATTAATACAAAATTTTTCTCCCAAAAAAAAAACAGAGGCACTAGTAACACCCAATAATTACCAAATATAATCAAGAAAATGAGCTCACATGGGAAGGACCTCGTTGATCTTCACCCACCAACACCATGAAGGCACTATTTGCCTCTATTTTATCACCAAAAAGAACTAGTAGCAATATAATACGAAGGAGAGAGTTTTGGCTTTTTTGTCCTGTAACCGCTGCATGCATCTAGAAGGCAGGGGAGAACAGAGTAATGGCCAATGGGGTCGATCTAGAATGGTGTGGAGTAACGTACTTCTGCTTTTTCTCCTCACTAATTTCCGTTTAGTTCGTTTCAATAATTTTCATGGTCAGCAAGAAAAGAAGAAGAAAAAGGCTTGGGCCAGCCATTTGGGGCGCCAAAGCTCCCACCTACCAGAGCCACACAAAAAAACAACAACATCAAGGCTGCATCCGTTTGTTTCTCATGCTAGCTAGGAGATGAATCTGAGTATTCGTCATACCGGACGAATTGTCATAAGAGGAAAAGATGTATAAGACTCATTCTTGAACTTCAAGAGCTCGAATTAGAAACACGAATCGATCATTATCGTGGTATCAGAGACTTAACAGCTAATTAAGAAATTTCGTGTTCGAACACCTCGATAATCCGCCTCGAATTGATTGTGGTCTCAAACCCTTTACTCTCACTCAACTTCTTGATGACCACACTTGGCCATGCACGGACACGGTTCACTTGGACCGCACCAAAACCCAAGGTAGAGCCAAAGTGAGGTCCATTCTTCTTCCACATGACGCCACGTGTCGATGATGCCTCTGCCTCGTTTCCTCTATAAATTTACCGCTTGGCCGCTGCTGGAGAGAGTCACTCGAGATACACAGCCCTTCCCAATTAGCCCAAGATTCCTCTGCTGCCCCTTCTCCTTTCTTCTTCTTCTTCTTATTGAGTTTCAATTTCTTTCGGTGAGAAAGAGGGAGAGGGGAAAGATGTTTATCGAGAAGTTTCAGGTGGAAAGTCCTAATGTGAAGTACACAGAGACTGAGATACAGTCCGTGTACAACTATGAGACCACTGAACTCGTTCACGAGAACAGGAATGGTTCCTACCAGTGGGTCGTCAAGCCCAAGTCTGTCCAATACGAGTTCAAGACCGATACTCGTGTCCCCAAACTTGGGTTCGTTTCAAAACCCTCGCTTTTTTGTTGTCCTGATGCCCCCTTTGCATGAAGCTTTAATCTTTGTGTAATGCTGGTTTCTGGGTTTTGGGTTATGGTGATGATGATGATGATTTACTTGCAGGGTTATGCTGGTTGGGTGGGGAGGAAATAATGGATCCACTCTCACTGGTGGAATCATTGCCAACAGAGAGTAAGCAAGAAAGACTCCAACTTTTGACTGTTATTTGGTCGATTCTTTTGTTAGGGAAAGGGTTTTGATTGGTTTATTATGGTTCTGGGTATGCTATCTTTTTGCCTAAAATTGATTGGTTGTTTGGTGTAGAGGGATTTCATGGGCAACCAAGGATAAGGTTCAGCAGGCTAACTACTTTGGCTCTCTCACCCAAGCATCAGCAATCCGAGTTGGGTCCTACAATGGAGAAGAAATCTATGCCCCATTCAAGAGCCTCCTCCCCATGGTAAAACCTATAGATAAAGATTATGCTTACCATTCCAGAGTCCCTTTTTGTTTTATAGAATGGTTGATGATGGATGTTGTGAATTTGGTTGGAAAACAACAACAAAAAACAGGTGAACCCAGATGAGATAGTGTTTGGAGGATGGGATATAAGCGACATGAATTTGGCTGATGCCATGGCAAGGGCCAGGGTTTTGGACATTGATCTGCAGAAACAGCTGAGGCCCTACATGGAATCCATGGTCCCACTACCTGGTATCTACGACCCTGACTTCATTGCTGCTAACCAAGACTCCCGTGCCAACAATGTTATCAAGGGCACCAAGAAGGAACAGGTCCAGCAGGTTATCAAGGACATTAGGTAGTTCAGTTACCCCGTCTTTACTCTGCTTAACTGTGGTTTCACGTTTTTGAACATTAAACCTCTATAAATTTGTTGCTGATGCATGGTAAACGTTGGTGTATAGGGAGTTCAAGGAGAAGACTAAGGTGGACAGGGTTGTTGTACTGTGGACAGCCAACACCGAGAGGTACAGCAACATTGTTGTGGGACTGAATGACACCACAGAGAACCTCCTGGCTGCTATTGACAGAAATGAGTCTGAGATCTCTCCATCTACCCTCTATGCATTGGCTTGCATTATGGAAGAGATCCCTTTCATCAATGGAAGTCCACAGAACACTTTTGTTCCAGGTTGCCTTTCTTTCTTTTGACATTTGAAAATGCAAATGGAAAGTTGTTAGCTTGTTTCTTTGCTGAACTAAACTAAGGTTTACTTATTCATGACTGTTGAACAGGACTGATTGACTTGGCTATTCAGAGGAACAGTTTGATTGGTGGTGATGACTTCAAGAGTGGTCAGACTAAGATGAAATCAGTGCTTGTTGATTTCCTTGTTGGTGCTGGTATCAAGGTTTGTGCTTTTTGGTCAATTCCTACCATTACTGAAGTGGTACCAACAGTACTATAGTGCAATAGTACAAAGATGATGATACTTTGGTTTAACTTTGGTGGTCGTTTCTGGTTAGCTTCATTTTGTCCATGATGATAATGGATAGTTGAAATTACCACTGTTGATTATGAACAGCCAACATCAATTGTGAGCTACAATCACCTTGGGAACAATGACGGGATGAATCTCTCAGCACCACAGACCTTTAGATCCAAGGAGATCTCCAAGAGCAACGTTGTTGATGACATGGTTTCCAGCAATGCCATCCTTTACGAGCCTGGTGAACACCCTGACCATGTTGTGGTCATCAAGGTAAAAACTCTCAAGCATGGGAAATCATCCTCTCGTTTGGGTTTAGTTGAATCTTTGACTGAGTTTTGAGGATCTCTTTTTGGGTTTGGTACAGTATGTGCCTTATGTAGCAGACAGCAAGAGAGCTATGGATGAGTACACATCAGAGATCTTCTTGGGTGGGACCAACACCATTGTGATGCACAACACATGTGAGGATTCCCTCTTGGCTGCACCAATCATCCTGGACTTGGTCCTTCTTGCTGAGCTCAGCACCAGGATTCAGCTTAAAGCTGAGGGAGAGGTGAGTTTCTGAAACATACTTGAGAGAGCAAATTGATGGTTGTTTAGTTGATGAATTATAACCTGAATTAACTTGCTTTCGAATTTGCAGGGCAAGTTCCACTCTTTCCACCCTGTGGCAACCATTCTCAGTTACCTTACCAAGGCTCCTCTGGTGAGTCAAAAAAACAAGTGGATACATTGATTAAATGTGACTTTTTGGGGGTTACCAAACTCCATTTAAGAGGTGCTTGATGTTCCCAATGTTTGACCAAGTTGTTAATTGTCATTTTGTTAACAGGTTCCACCAGGCACACCAGTGGTGAATGCACTGTCAAAGCAGAGGGCCATGCTGGAGAACATCCTGAGAGCTTGTGTTGGTTTGGCTCCTGAGAACAACATGATTTTGGAGTACAAGTGAAGGGAGGAAAAACAAGAGTTTGCTGTTTGCCTTACCTACTTACCCACCTAGTAGTTGTGGTAATTGTGGCTGTGGAAGATGATTTGCTACTTCAAGCAGGCTCTTTTTAAAAACTAGAAGGAAGAAGAAGAAGACCCATTTTCCAAGTTTCTCTTTTCTCTGTTCATGTTTTAATGTCTTGTGTGTGGAAATGGCCTCTTCTGTAATGATCTAATGATCTCCCTTTCTTTTTCTGCCTTTTTTGTTTCCTCTCAAAAGGGTGATCATGGTTTCATCATGAGGCTCTTAGTGTGATTGTTGGCTCTCTTTTCTTCTGTCCATGATGCACCTTGTGTTGGAAATAGAATGGATAAATTATATATAAGTTAGTTTCTGTGAAAATTGTGTCTACTCACTACTTCATGCCTTGTTCTTCTTACTTTCTGGTGTTCAACCTCTCTTCCTCTTTCCTTTGGCCTGCACAGGTTCCAAAACACTAGCAGATCTTCTGAATTAGGATAAGGTAATCTACTATGGAGCTAAACTGATACCCTCTTAAACCACCATAGATAAGGGTTAGCTTCTTCCTATCCTGATAAGGAGCAAGATGGACCGCCATGATCGATGACATGACATGAAGTTGGTCCTGAAAACTGCATCCTGAACGCACTGATTGAGGTGTGAAAGATGCAGTACAGTGCCATGTTGAACATCACGACAGAAGTGCAAAAAGGAAGAAAAAAACATTGAATGGTTCCAACTGGGTTCTGGAGTCCCCATTTCTTCACTTTTCTTTCAATTCTGGTATTGTTATTTCACATTCAAGTCAGTGTTGCCATACATGTGGAGCTCTTATTGGCCTATTGTTTTATGTGCTCGCCGCTTGGTGTTGTTTTCACGAGAATGCCAGGTCCACATAAAAGCATACAGCAGTTAATGGATATGTTGTCAGCTTATGTTAGTTTGGCTCCTGACGAGCAACATGTTCATGGAATCCAAGTGAAGGCAGAAAAAAGCTCTTTGCTTTACCTACTTACCCACCTAGCAGTAAGAAGATGATGATGAGGTTTTATTTTTGGCCAGCTGTGGAATGGAAGAACATGTTCATGGGCTAGTTAATGAAAGAGATTCGTAAGTGAAAGAAAAAAAGAATCAAAGTTAAATCATCAATCACAAACGGCAACATCATAATTTTATCACCCTTCTCGTAAAAATGAAAGGACATTCTCGTTTCTCTCGAACATCTGGTCGATAACGTATAGAGATTTTCAGACAATTATCTGTTGAATTCTCCATTTGAATGGTTAAGAATGCGTAAAAAACGTCATTGACCACATCCTAATCGACAAAATTATCCCTACATCCAGAACGTACCGACTGAGGTGTGTCGTAGTGACAAGAAGTACAATGACCGTTTCGAACATCACGACGAGAGTGGTAAAATAACTACTTTGAATGGTCCAAAACTTTGATTTACAAGGTCCCCACTCTTTCCTTTTATTTCATTTTTGGTATTGCTACTCACTTTCATGTCAGTGTTGCCATACATGTGGGATGCTTATTAGCCTGTGCTTTTGTGTTGAATAACCTAGGTCCACATAAAAAAAAAACAACAAAACAAAACACTCAGCAGTTGAGATTTCTAATCAGTAATCCCATCGTTGGTTGGATAGATTTTCTTCAAGAGATTGGTTTGGTCCATTCATAGAAACACATTCAATGGGTGAAAACCCTAACTTTCATTTGTACTCATGCTACTCTGTTTTCACTCCATAGTGGAGAAAGCAATGGCATTATGGTCCACCGGATTGCAACAGAGATGGTCGACATAGCCTGGGTAAGTGGAGACATAGATGGAGAGGCAGTTGCATATCAAGGGTAAAGTGACTGGCCCACGACAGAGCTCGTTAACGAACTAGGTCACGGAGTTAGTACGTGCTACCACATGCACCACCTGATTGTATATTGAATGAGCAATATCTAACTTGCATTTTGGATAGCTCTAAAAAAAAAAAGAATCACACGCTCTTAGACTCGACTTAAGTAGCACAAAAAACAAGGTACGCGTAGTTCGAACATGCCTACGTACTATAGCTTTCGTTTAAGTTGATTAGATACGATGTCAAATTCAATATGGATTATCAGGCATGTCATCTGGAGATAGATGAAGATGGATGGTTCGACTCAACCTGAGTCTTTGGTTCATGGGTCTGGCCCGGAGGGCGGGTTCTTTTGCTTCTCCTTGAAGAAGCTCCACTTGCTTGTTTGTTTTTGTCGTGGTTGCTGGAGTTAGTTAGTTCGTTATCTTTGTTTTTGTTGGTAACTTTCTCTGTAATTAACCGGCAGGGTTGTATAAACTATGAGGATTTGTTTTAGACCGAACTTTATAACTAGTTATGCATACGCGTGGCAAAATTTCATTGTGTTTGGTGTTATTATCATTACAAACACATCTTAGAAGTCAATTCTATGGACTATGAGGATTGTGTTGCGGGATTCTTGAAAAGGAATTCCCTTCTTTTCTGTGGCATTGGGGTAGTGAGTGGTTTTGGTTTGCTTGGAAGGAACAGAGAACCTCACCTGATCTCCCCATCTTGATAGTAAGGATTAGTGGAGGAGTATTTTTCTCCCTCATGGCTCATCAGTGTTGAAAAACCTGTGATTTGAGTGGTTGATGGAATCTCACTGAAGCTGGATTTTCTTCATTTAATGTTTTAAATTTTAATATAGATAGATTTTATGAAGCAAAATAACATCAAATGGGGATGTAGCTCAGATGGTAGAGCGCTCGCTTAGCATGCGAGAGGTACGGGGATCGATACCCCGCATCTCCACCTTTTTTCGAGTTGAAGTATTGGGCTGCTTGGGGCGGCTACACAAAGATGGGCTTGGTTGATATTGGGCCAGCCTAAGTTTCGAAATGCGTAAGCAGGCCCTAATTGTAAACCACTCCTCTGTTATTCTTTTGGGCTGAATTGGAAACGAGGCACCGGTCCAGCTTTTCTAGGACGCCGCAGTTGTACCCTGAAGAAAAAAGCCCAAGTATTTTGTCCTCAACTCGATATGAACTCTAGTCAGTAGTCAACAAACAAAGTCAAGTCTATGCAAAGTTTGCAAACTCGTGTTGTGTGTTCACGGTCTGTACGAAGAATGTTGAATGCAATGCCAATAATATCTATAACTACACCGTAACTAAACTGATAGGATCCCATGTAATTCCATATCGGTCAAGATTTCGGAGTAACGAAAAATAACTCTAAACGAGCTCAGTTGATGCAGGCTAAATTTATGTTAAAGTTGTTATTCATCGTATTACTTTCACCGAAGCAGGATCTTTGTCTCGCTCGTCCTTCCACAAGGACAACTTCCTCTTCCCAAAAGCATGGCTTTAGAGTTTAGTTCTGACTTTTATATACCGCATACGCGGCCGAAAACTAATTGACGATTAATTAAACCGTCGTGACGTCATATAAGAGAAGACTGTGAAATTTACGTAAATAAAATGGGGGTGGAAGTCTACGTTTGCATATCCTTTTCTTGGACGAGTCATAGATACGTTTGCATATGAGGAAAAGAAAAAAAAATTGCGTAGCAATCGCACTTTACGCACAATTTACGTTATAGACTGTGGAAAAACCCTTATCATCATGAACTGTCGTTACCCTACTTGTTGTATGCATAAGTTAATGAGGAAAATGACAAAAGGTGAGAACTGAGAAACAATATGTAATTCCAAAGACCATTAAGTAAAAAAAAAAAGGAATCATAAGGTTGCCATCAAAGACGATAGCAATTAGTGGAATTTGATTAGTTAAATGGGTTATGTTAATTAGGGTTTGTAGATGCCTCATTTCCCAACTCCCACAATCCAAGGCAGGAAGCAAGGAGATGGGGGTGACACCCAACAGCCCAACAAGTGGGAAAAGGGATTAATTAAGTGTTGAGTGGTAGCATTAGAGGGATTATTTAACATATGAGGTTATTTAATCTAAAATGTAGTTAAATCAGGTGTTTCCGAATAAACATATTTCGAAAGCGTTCAATCAGTTTGATTGTCATTGCCGGTCATTGTCTTCATGAGATACCCGTAAAATGATCTTGTTTGTTGATCGATCGGAATATCTTCCGAGTCTCGCAAATTAGTCACTAGTTTACCAATACGAAAGACATTAACTTGTTGCTATGATATGGCACCTAAATGATCTGGAGACAGACCACACTTGTTAGAGATGAACTCCGTTACAAATTTTATGTCGCTTCGGAAGTGAGAATATGTTGTATACTTAAAACCTTGGTGGTTCAGGTGATATACCTAAACCGGAATCGGTTACCTTACTCGTGAGCTATGAGCAATCAGATATTGTTTTTATCAACTAATCGAACCATGAAAATTAATGGTAGGAAAAAATCCTAACAACCGTTGTCTTCATTGTATTCCCTTTTTTTTATCTCTTCATAAAACAATAACAAATTCTCTTTCATTAGCTCTTACAAAATTTCTCATACAATTTGATTGGTAGAGAGATTTTTCGAAATTACAACACATAAAAAGCTTTTAGTAAATCAATAATACTCTCTTGTGACTGCTAGTCAATCCCCTAGTTCATTTTCACTTCTTAAAATTCTTATATAACCCAAATAACCAAAACTCAACTTCCTCCTTCCTTTATTTATTTAGTGTTGATTTACTCATGCCTTGACATATTTCTACTTTTTTAATAAGAAATACTGGGTTAAAAAATAGATATTTACAAAGTACTGAGTAATCAAACATGACAATCGACAAATAGATAGATCGTCGGATCTTTTGCAAGAGCCCCAATTATATTAATGATAATAATCAAGCACCCTCCCACAAATAAATCTGAAGGAAATCATAGTTTTCATATGCAATCATCAAAGCTGGAAGAACCAATCAGACAACAAAGTATTGTGTGTTTATCAATGAAAGAATAATTTATTTCTGTATTTTTCAATAGGTTTGGTTGTTCATTATTGGGCAGCCGGTGGATTAATATAGGGAGCGAATTAAAGAGAAGCATTGACCCCAAAACTAAAAAGAATTGACAAACAGATCCTTCAGATTTCGTTTCCTCAAGATTTGCCTTCAAATTAGCAATTTTCTATTCCCCCTCGGGCGTGTAGATACTCCATGTAACATCAAAAAAATACCTTGTTTAGTAATTCCGTAGCATGTTAGATATCGAGACGTGAAAAATGAAATAAGGCGGCATCTACGCATAATTAGGTGGCGTTAGATATGAAATCAATATCGAAGAAGGAAAATTTTACACTATTTGTAAATTCAATTTTCTCTCTCAATTTTTTTCAATAACTTTATAATTTTATGGACTATTGAGCTAAGATTCTATTAACTCATGGCCTATATAC